GGGTTCCCCTAGATAAAGATGGAGAGCCAAATGAAGAAGTTGTCGCTGTGCCCAGAGTCCAAGAAAGGATAGCACTGCTACTCTGATTCTGTTTGTTTTGAAATCGAGGAAAACAACCCCCCCTTCCCCACCCCCCAAAAAAAAAACCGAGCCAAGGTTGACTTGCTGCCAGACTCCAGGGAAGATGCAAAGTGGAGTGATTGTTTACTAGGGTGATGGGGGGCTTATTTGTGGGCCAAAAAACACAAGGCCTGGTTAGACAGGCCGTGTGTGTGACACAGCACAGAGAGGTCACACACATCACAAGTACGCACGCACACGTATAATACACAGCACAGCATACATCAATTTTATTAATATTCTTCATGAATATGCAAGTTACACTGACACAAACACTGTAGGTTGTTCCGCAAATACTAAGTCATTCCTAAACCTGCCCCCAAAATACCTGCCTTATTCACTATTTCAACATATTCTCAAGCTGTAAAAAGCACCCTTTAAAAACATAGAAACATATCAAGTGAGCTTAGCTCTCTGAACTGTTCAAAATATGTCACAATGAAAATTGTCGGACAGTGTTTGCCGAGTGTGTGTCCAGGACTGTGTCAGAGTGATGTGCTTTGAATCAACACCCTGCAGCAACACAAGTAAGTGTTCCAGTCTCAACAGGTTTACTGAGTCTTTGGTTTTAAATTCGCAGTAAGATATCCTCTGTTTCGATATTTTTGCATGTTTTTATAAGATCACATATACTAGCCTGTCTTGCCCATTAGTATCACTGTTTGGGAGCAAGATTCCGGAAGGGTGTGTTCAGGAACTGCCAGCGACCATAAAGTTCCAGAACATCAAAGGACGTCACAAATTCCTGACTATCACCTATCAGGTATTTTCTGCATGACTGGGTCCACGCACTAAGCAATCCTCCCAGGAAGCACTTTGGTGACGACAGAAGAAAGTGAAATATAAATATTTGTCAAATTATGAGTAAACATCACAGAAATCCCTAGATCCATTGAGGGCCATTGTATGTATATAGTAGAACACACACTGTTTACTTTACTCATGGCTGGGAAGCAGGCATACGTAACTGAGAGTTCTATTTGAACAACAACACCAATATGAAGACATATAAATCATACAAGCTGCACTAATACTAGGGCGAACTCTCTGTTGTGTACATGCTGTATGTGCACGTGTAGATGCACTTTTTAGTGACTAATTGTATGTAGATAAAATGTTTTAGACGATGACGCATATCACTATGGGATGTGTGTTTTTGATAGAGTTTAGGGCTGGTGTATTAATCAGCAAGCTTATCACAAATCCATGGCCACCTCCTGGGGCAGAACTGTCATGTTCACCTTCAGCTAGTACAATCAGAAGCTGCTCCACAGTAAGGCCACTCCATTGTGCCCCCTTGGGCCAGAGAAAGGCCACTGCACCAGTGATAGTCCCACAACTGTGTGCTGGCAGTTAATTCTTAGGCATGGCAAATTGAGTTTTGGAGAAGAAGACGTGTTTTGAGGATCATTCAACTGTGACAGGACCTATCAGAGCAGGGAGAATGGGCGAAGCCAAAGTCACTGACACTGATGTGGGAAAAGTTTAATGGCAGCAACATGAGTCTTTGCAGCCGGAGTTAGACATCACAATAACGTCACACTCAGACTTGCTATAACAGCAAATCCACACCTACACCGTGTCTCTTCTTCGATCCTTGGTAAGAGAATCGCCAGTTTAGCGGGACATATTAATATTCCACTCCCCTGCTCTCGACGTTGAAGCACACAACCTAACGATTTCCACTTGTACACCTCATTACACTGCTGGGTGTTTCCAAAACAATCAGTCCAGAGGAATGCTGGTCTTCCTGGACCCTGTGCCAGTTTTCCCTCGACAGACTCGCCGCTGGAAGCTAACAGCAAACGCTACAAGTTTCTACTGGAATGTCGGCATCCGTTTCCACCTCAGCGGCTCACACGGATGGCGCTGCCCTGGCTTTTGTGGTGTTTGCGGGTGGACTATCACAGCGTTCCGCCAGATCTGTGCCCAGTCAGACGCCTGCCTGCCAGCTACTCCCTCCCTGAGCTCGCACTCTGCTTTGCCAGGCGGTGTGGGCCAATCTTCCGAAAGCTCCATGCATGTTTTCACAAAGAGGAAGAAGTCTAACTTTCCAGGTGCAATGCTCCAATATTTACATAAATACACCTTTTTTTATTCTTTCTAGAATTAAAATACCACACTACTTAAGTGCTAAATAAAGTGTTTAGCCTGCTTGTCATTACATTTTGGAATTGGACCAAAAAAGGGGCTTGTATTTTATACATAGACGTGGCAGGTCATAGTGGCTGCATTGCTTATAGTGTAGTGTGAGTACTAACACGTGATTGGCAGGCCAAGCAGTGATGCGTGACTCTCCTGAGCTCTGGACAGCCAACAGCCAGCCACTCAGTCTGTTGGCCACCAGCAAAGAACAAAAAGACTGCCAAGGGTACCAAAACCACAGACGCTAAGGGCCCCCACCAATCAACGTTACTGGTAGGAGGAAGTTTAAATATTGTGAAGATGTCAGCTCCTAGTGTAAACTTGTGTAATCTCCGTACTTGTAAGCTGTCCTGTAACTACAGATTTCCTTAATTCTATCTGCAGTTAAAATGGACTATGCTGTGCAAACGTCATTTTATTGGATTTTTGGAATTCTTTGAACTGAAACAAGCCCCTGTGACACATCATGGATAAATATATGACCCCCCTCACATACCATCTAAGGCACAAGGCTGTAGCCCAGCTCTGCCCCCCACCAGGTCTGAGGGCCTCACACACACCCAGCGGAGGGCTTGATTTTGCCCTCACAGCTCAGCATATCCTGAGAAAGAAACCCTTAAACCCGCTAAGACTGCTTAACTAATTAATTCCTGTCTCCTTGCCCCTATATTTCCATGGTTTCCAGTTGCTTTTTTCAGGTCACTCCTGGAGATGTTCCTATTGGTCCAGTGAAAAGCACTTCTAAAAACACGCTTTCACGGATGATTCTGGATTAATGTTGTCAGGAACGTGAGAAGAAATCCTCACTGACAGTAGCATGGAGATAGGGTTAGGGATGGGGGCTGTGTGGAGGCTCAGGGGTCAGTGCTGCCCCCAGGTGTCAGTGTATGTATGTGTTATAAGCTATTTGAGTTCCCACGCTCTGCCTTGGGGCCGCTTGATTCACCACCCCCCCCCCCCCCACCCCAGCCAAAAGACCTGCAGTTTAGGTAAACCCTGTCTCTATATAATCCTTAAGTGTGTGTGACTGGTGATGGACTGGCATTCTGTCTGAAGAGTTTCCTGACTTCCGGGTGAGTACTAGTTGAGTGAACACTGAAGATGTATGTAAATATAGTGCCTCTCTGCTGCCATCTAGAGGTGAATAGCTGAGGTTCAGTTTCATTTCAGAAGAGCGCTTTGGAGAAAGACAACATTGAGGTTTTATGGATCTTGCTTGCATTTTATGTTCTTTTCAAAAGAGTGCACAAGTAATTCGATATAAAAATTCTCTAAAGCAGTGAGCTTGCCAGCTCAATGAACCAGCAAACTTATAAAGCACTGTCTCTGCTGGAAGGGACACTGAGCTGTCCACCGGGGGGTGGGGTGGAATCTGAACTGGCCACCAGAGGAGTATGGCAGGTCGCCAGGGACACGGTCACCAACAGAAACATCACTTAAGGGATCTGAACTTATCAGCTGAGCCTGTTCATTGGGTCAGATAATTTTTTTCCTATTTTGTTTTTCTTGGAAAAGAGTTTATTTCTGAGAAGAGATTTTTTTTTTAACTAAAATCATTAAAGTTCAAACACATCAGACTCAGGAAATACCCAACTGGAAAAAATGCAAATCTATAACTATAAAATATAACAAAAATGTCAATGATAATGGCAGCAAGAAAACTGACTTAGGGCTGAAGGAGGTTAGCTGGTTATATAGTTAACATGTTGTGTGAGGACAGCATTTTCAATAACGATAATGTGTTAAAAACTAATTCCAGTACATAAACATTTGGCCTACAGGATTATGTTATGGTTAATTTGATTGCAAACATATCATTCCTGGGGGGTGGGATAAAGCCAGTGGGATGGGGGGGGGATATTTCTGTCTTGGTTATGAATTCAATTTAACTCAGCTGCATAGATGTCAAGCATATCATGGCAACAATATACAGCTGAAAACGGCATGGTCTCACAGTAGGAAGGTCCAGGGTTTGGTCCCTGGGTTGGGTGTGGAGTTTGCACGCTCTCCCTGTATTTGCATGGGTTTCCTCCCGCAGTCCAAAAGTATGCAGGGCAGGGTGATTGGCGAGTCTAAATTGGCCCTGTAATTGTGGCTGTGCTGGCAACTGCCCAGGGTTGGTTCCTGCCAGTGCCCCTTGTTCCCGGGATGGGCTCTGGTGACCCCAGTCGGGATTAAGTGCTGATGGATGGAATATACAGTAGAGACCTTGCATTCTTTTTGGTAACATTTGTATGGATCTGTTAATTAATCAAACGCTAATTTATCGATATTATCAATCATATTCATATCAGCTTTTAAATATATGACTCAAGAATGCATTGACAATGTTTAATAAACTATGAACTCTTCGCTGTTAACGTGTGTCTCCTGGGGTTGCGTTTAACTTTTGGACTTTCTGCATGGATAGACCAAGACTTCGACCTCCGCCTGTTAGCCATTAAAATTGCAGTGGAGACCAGAACCAACTGAAAAGAAAGGCTTTACAGACGGTAAGAACATATTCAGAACTTCATGCTATCTTATCTTATTCTTGTTAGTGTGCTTTAAAAGCTGGTCCGTTTGTACATCGTGTTATCGTAGCTGGATGCTAACTTTGGTGGGCGGGTATCAAGAAACCTAAGGAAACACCATATTTAAAAGGGAACAAAGTCTCTGTTTACTGACCTAAAGTGACTTGAACTCAGTTGTAAATACAAATAAGTGCACAAAATACAGAATGGCATTAAAACATTAATTACGAAATGGTTACATGCTGAGGTGCTGAAATATATGTTTCTTACCCTCCTTAATTTATTGTTGATTGTGAGTAATATAGACAAACTATATATACAGCTGTGGAAATGATTCAGAGACCACTCTATGTTTTTAAACAATTCTGAATTTTTAAATCCTTCTTTAATCCTGGTTGTGCTGGCAGAAGGCTACGCTGAGCATCAGGTTGCTTCCAGGTTCAACATTTCTAAGACAGCAGTACACAAGAATAAGGTAAAGACACTGGGAATGACCAGAAACCAGTCAGGTAGAGGGCTGAAGCAAATTTCTAATGCCAGAGATGACCATTAACTTAGACAGTTTCTCATGAATCAGAGGACGACATCAAGTGACTTTCAAAAGGAATGGGCAACATTAAGTGCAGGTGTGAAGTGCACTGCTATGACAGTTTGTCAGGGTCCTAGAAGCAGGACTGAAGTCCTGTGAAGCAAGGAAGAACCCCTTCATTAATGAGAAACAGGGAAGAACCAGGCTGTAATTTGCAATATATATATATTTTTCACAGACGCATACCCATAAATTGAGAAATGAGTGAAACAAAAAATTGTGCTGTGGTCTCAAAAATTTTTCCACATCTGTATGCAATTTATATTTGAGGTCCAGGTCATTTAACGTAACGACCTGTAGTAGCTGCAGAAATTGTTTTTTTTTTTTAAAGTAACAGCATATTGTTTTATTGCATGAATGTAGTAAATTCAATTGGAAGTGTGAATTGCAGTGGAGAGCGATTGCTTTAGTCTGGTGCAGTGGTCACCAAGGTGTTCACCACAAGCGCTCAGTAGCTCACAGGGAGCCCATCAGTGCCCCAAATAATACTTTCTAGAAATCGGTTCAGTGGTTTAATCACCGCCACCCACCATGATCAGCAACTTTTACCATTGCCACCCTGTATGATTGTTCCTCTTTAAATAGTGTATCATTCTCCAAGCTGCTTTTCATGTTTGCACTTTTCCACCCAAGGCTAACCATGAGCTGCACCTACGTCACTCTGTCTACAGGACAGATGATTCCCAGTGTGGGCCTGGGCACTTGGAAAAGCGTCCCAGCACAGGTCAGGGACAACCTATATCACATGAATGTCAACATAGGTGTTATTGAACGTGGGCAACAGATCACATGGAGGGTTTGGACCTGGACAGGAGTCCCAGGAAAGACCTTGCTGAGCAAGCACTTAACCTGAACTGCTCCAGAAAAACATCTGGCTGTATATCCTACTGAGACACCACCCATTCATTTATGTCTATTGTAGTGGACATTTTGTTTTTGCATATATCTTTTCACTGATGTAAGGAAACATATTTATTCCTATTGTACACTAAAGAAGACATGATGTGAAATTAAAAATAAAAATAAATTTGAAAAATGATGTCTTATTTCCTTAGAAAATCACAATTAACCTAAAACTGAAGGACACTTTTTTCCTTGGGTCTTGTGCCAAATGAATATCAACTGTAGAGAGAATAAATGAAATCAATGGGAGAGAAATTCCAGATGAGGATAGATTTTTATTTTGAGATGAGACCACCTCATATCAGGATTCCTCATCATGTTACAGTACTGGGAAGTAAATTCAAATTCACTCAGTCCACATGTAATCCAGTGATGATGAACTTGCATTAAATTTGTAAAACTCACGAAGTCCCAGGTACGTAATGCGAATCCGGTCACATATCCTGTGGACCAATTTAGTTTGGGAAATTTGACCTTCATGTGTGATAGATCCACACTGGATAACGTGTGTTCACAGTGTGGAATTATAGCAGTGGACATCCTGGGGCTCCCCCTGCTGGTAGGATGCAGGACACAGCCTGTGGTCTCCCTTTGCAGGTAAAGCAAGCAGTCTTGGCAGCTCTGGACAACGGCTACAGGCACATTGACTGCGCAGCTGCCTACAGCAATGAGGAAAATGTGGGGGAAGCTCTCAGGGAGAGAGTTGGACCTGGCAAGGTAGAGCGAGAACCTCTCACACCTCACTGTGGCCCGGGGTCACACTTCATAAAGAAGAAAATGAAGTCTAGACATGGCCACCTTGATTATCTTCTACTTCACCATCACCAGTAGATAGTGTATATAATCGACAAGACTGTCCTCATCAGAGCCTCAAGCGAGAGGAGCTGTTCCTGACCTCCAAGCTGTGGAACACTGAGCACCATCCTGACGACGTGGAAGCGGCCTGCAGAAGGAGTCTCACCCACCTGGGAGTCTCCTACCTGGACCTCTACCTCATGCACTGGCCAATGGCCTTTGAGTGAGTGTCCTGTCACACCCGTGTCCATCCACAAGGTAATGTTGTAGACCAAAATACACTCCCCAGGACGTGTGATTTCAGGAGGGGCTCTGTGATGATGCCATCTAATGCAGATGGTAGCATTCGTTATGCGGACACCCACTACAGAGACACCTGGAAGGCAATGGAGACGTTGGTAGACCAGGGGCTAGTGAAGGCCATTGGACTGTCTAACTTCAATGCCAGACAAACTGATCTCATTCTCAGCATCGCAAGACACAAGCCGGTTGTAAATCAGGTAGGTTTTATTGTTTATTTTCAAAACAGGAGCAGAAACCATGGTAGTACAGTTCCAGGACTTATGGTGCGTTCGTTTTTCTCTCGGAACTCGGAAATTCCGAGTTGAGTGACATCACGTCCGACAATCTCCCGTTCGAGCTGCCTCCATGAACACGTTGCTGTGTGTTGTTGCTTTATATTTTAGCAGATTTGGATTTTTCCAAATGGAGAAATGGAGATTTTTTCGAGAGACAAACAAGAAACACGAACTAGTCAAACCACATTAAAAGCTTTATAAAATATTTTAGTACATTGATAGCGATATTCTTTTTTCGAACGGCAAACAAACTACAAATAAACCAAGTCGCCATGTTGAAATTACGTCACAGGGGCAACTCGGACAACAAAATCTTGTCCGACTTCAACGTCATAAAAGAGGCGTGTTTCCAACGGGAAGTGACGTTTTTCGTGACGTTCCGTGATGTTTTCATCTGAGTTCCGACTTGGAGAGAAATAATCGAACTCACCATTAGCCACCCATGCTAAAGGAAGTGACCTCGTCACCAGAGTTAGAGACCAGGGCACAATCCTGACCCCAGAAAGCAGCTACAATAGTTCACTTCTGAAAAACGTAATGCTTATATGGACAGCATGTAGACCGGAGCATTTCCTGCTTCACTTAAAACTCATCTTGAGCTCTTGACATCTTCTGAAGGTGGAATGCCACCCATTCCTGGCCCAGCAGCAGCTGCTGACTCACTGCAGGGACCGGGGGGTGGCGGTGGCTGCCTACAGCCCCCTGGGCTCCCCTGACCGACCGTGGGCCTCCCCCGGGGAGCCTGTGCTGATGGGGGACCCCCGCATTAAGGAGATCGCACGCCAATACGGAAAGACCGCGGCCCAAGTCATCATCAGGTGAACTGCCTGAAGCCACTGGCCTGATTTCAAATGAGCCCACACTCAGAATGCAAACATTGCCTCACCCGACCACCAAACATCTAATTTAAAGATAATAAATAAATAAAAGACTTGGCTTATGGGGGGTGACTTGATGACATTGCCAGCTAACACAAGAGAGCAATGGGGGAATTTTTATATGGGTTTCTGGGTATTTACAAAAACAGCAGGAAGCCCTACAGAGAGCGCAGTACCTTTGACAATGTTTCCTGATCTCACTATACATATATTGAAGCTTACAGACTTATATGGACGGATATATTGCAGGTGGCATGTACAGAGAGGAATCATCTGCATCCCCAAAAGCATCACCCCTTCGAGAATTCAGCAAAACCTGCAGGTTCAGTAGCACACTAACATCACTGATCAATCTATCACGTTAAGAGGTCTTTGAAACAAACTTAAACAGAAATACACATGAACTTAATTGTAAAACTCAAAGACGGATAGTTTTGGGGGCTAATACACTTTCTTCTGGGATGCCATTATAAAACGCAGGAAAGATGTCACCCCATTTCCACTGGAAACGATATTATCCATTACAATTTGTCTATGATTAAAAATGCCACACATTATTATTTTTGCTCTCTACAGCCGATAGGTGCATATCATAATTACATCGCTTTAAGTTCTGGCTAAACTTTTAAATTAAAAATTCACTTAGTTTTTTGAACAGTTGCTGTCTGAAGACCGATTCAAATACATAAAAACCCATCTGAGTTGATACTATTCAGAGGTTTCAAATAGAACTATACAATAGCAACGATTCAAAACACCATAATAGTTTTTTTTTATTAAAAGTATTACGCAAGTACTCTTTTTATCTGAGTACACGCACAAATGAATTCTAGTACACTTAAAAACACTTACTATTACTTTTTTGTTACTCAATAAAAGCCCCACAAAATAAAAAAATATTAAAAGTTCTCCGATTAGGCTTCTCGGATAAAGAGACATTGATAATTTTTGTTATTTGTATGTAATTTGAGTAGAACTGTTACTTAACCTGTAATAGTTTTGAAAATGCACTTCCATTTAGACAGAATTCAAGTTTTGTGCTTTGAAAACCTATGAACTCATCAGCTCCGTTGTAAAAATTGCAGGTATTGGACTTCCAGCTAACAGATGAAGACATGAAACTCATTGAATCCTTCAACCGAAATGAGAGGCTTATAATACCAACAGTGGAGGCAAGTGCTACAATATTTTTGACCTCCAACACGCTTAAAAAAAAATATTTGCAATAGTTGAAATAAATGACACAAGTAACTGTTTTTTCATGACAAATAACTGCTTCGTGTAGGATAAGTGCTGTCCTATTTAAAAACAATTGTGATTTGAAAAACAGGAAGCAGATGGTTTGTGGTTTCTGTTCATTTTACAGAAAGGAGGACGAAAAATATATAGAGATGGACTGCATCCTCACTTTCCCTTCCACGACCCCTACTGAAACACTATTCCAGCGAAACCAAGATATCGTGACAAGGCAGATGCCTTTACCTCTGCCCGAGACTGCTGCAGAGACCAGAACAAGCAGCAGATCGCTTTGGAAATATTTGAAAATCGACAATGTGTAAAATCATCCACGCGTTCTAACCTTTATTTACCAATGAAGGTTAGCAATTTTTACTCCAGTATTTTTAAAAGCAATTCATAGATTCAGGAGGGAAATAAATAGCACCAAATCAAATGTATGTACAGTATATGGGCGCAGACAGAACCTTCACACCCAAATGGCTGTATGGATAATAAAATTAGTGCACCATGAACAAACCCCTCTTGGAGGTTGAAAATATCTAATTACGCTAAACCTTGCACATCTATCCATGCTTAATCATTTTTAAAAATCATTTAGTATTACTCATGTTGAAACCCTTTATCATAAAGACTGAATTTAATACTGAAAATTAATGAGAACTCTACTCAAACCGAGATGCTCATTAAACATTATACTTCTGATGCACCAGTAAGGCATACTATGTCCTGATATTTTAAAAACTGCAGTATCGGCATGTATATAATTTACTTGCTGCCGCACTAAACCAAAAGCGCGGCAGTCAGATACAGTAACACGGTCCCATGTGCCTAATCACCCCCGCGTCCCAAAAGGCCCCAGTCACGACCCACCGCCGCGGCCCCCACGTGACGGTGAGGCGAGGCTCAAGCTCCTAAAGACATCCAACTTCAATGAACTTTAAGGGCATCAGGAAGGGGCACAGCCCCATTTATTATTCTTGTAATCAAAGGGCAGGTACAAATCATAACACACTGCAGTTATGCAATGACATTTCAGGTACTACTAAACCAAAGCTACCCTAAACCTGTGCTACGGGCACATGGGCGGTGGCAACGCTCGTAGTGATAGTACTAAAGATTACTGGGGAAACTTCGAATGTCAAACAAGGCATAAGAATTCTCAGATGTGACAGCACTTGGCACGCAAAGCTGAACAGACTTGATGAGGGAAACAGTCCAGAAGCACGAGCATGTGGCTTCCAACTCCAAGTAAGAGATACTAATGTGAACTTCATCTTGAGGTAAAACTGCCAGGTGCTGGTAGACGCTCAATGTAGTTTTGGGACCCATTTGGAATTATTTTTATTTATTTTTTTTTATTGCTTTTGGTCAGACGCCTGGGAAGTAGCGGTACTTCCACACCTCTCACATCTACCCGTCAGGAATTCATACTACAGTATCACTGCAAAAAAAAAAATAAGTTATTGGTTTATAAATAAAAGTAACAAAAAGGTTTCAGAGATGGGAGTTGCAGGTTTTTGGTGGAAAATCCCAGTTGCTACATAGATTTCAGTGTGGTTGCAATACTAATACGACACAATGGTCTTACAGACACTATGACAACTTAATTTATTTCTCAAACCTGTAATACATTATGCAGTGCTTCCATAAAAAAAGTCATCAGCAGGTTCCTTTCTGCTCTCTTACTTGCTATTTGCTGAGCCCATTACTACAACTGCACACCAAACGTTGTAAATTTAAGGTCAAAGCCACTACTTTGCACATGTAACCACACATTATGTCCATCCCCTGTGAGCTAATGACCAGTGCTGTCAGGAAGATCCCTTTACAAACCAGAACAAGGACAAACAGAAGGCTACATGCTTTCTCCAAAGCAGAAGGGGAGAAAAATTGGTACATTTTAAAAAATAAACACTTCAGAAGCATAAAGTCTGTAAATATGGAATTTTGTTGGTAGGTTTTGTACATTTCTGCCCAAGTTGGATGGATTGATTTGGAGCACCATGAGGATGCCTGCCACCCAGTTTAACCATAGAGGTCATCATCGTTGTCCTCGTTGAAGATGTTGCCCCCACTGCCACCAGCAGAGCCCTGGCTTGGTCCACTTCCACCTTGGTTACTGGACGGAAACCTGATTTGGGGCGGGGGACAAACAAGGACTAAACTTCTAGAACTCTGGCACCGATTTTTGGAATTATGAGAACACTGTACAAGAACAGCTCTTCAAACAATGACAATATGGAGCATCTGGCACCATCTAGCAGAAGAGGTGATGTTTCCTGGCTGGACTCTGGGTTTCTTACCTGAAGCTGCCAAAGCCCCTGCTCTGCTGCAGCGTCTGAGCGAACATCTCATATTTGCGGATGTCGTTGTCGCTGACAGAGCGGCGGGCAAAACGCATGGCCTCTTCAAAGTGGTCCTTGCGAATCTCAGGAACTGGGTCATCCTCCTCAACCTCCTGTGAGAATGAGCCGAGCTGCCGTTTCATTTTTGTTATGCAATTTGAGCCTCGTAATTTTTTACAATCCCTATGCAAATTCATACACTGACTGTAACCAAATCGACTGATGGCTGGATGCCAGGCTGCTCACCATGGCTGAAGGGTTGGTCTGCCTCTCGCGCTCCCGCCTGATTTCGTTCTCTATGGACTCCCTGATGGCCAGCTTGCATGCTCGCTGGCAGATCTCAGTCAAGTCAGCTCCAGAGAAACCATTGGTCATCTTGGCCAGGAAGTCCAAATCAACATCCTACACAAAATATATGAGCAGTAATAAACATCTGCAACTGGTGTAAACAGACGTTTAAAGCAAAGGAACTAGGCTCTTTTTCGCAGTGAAACCTTGCCTTTGAGATGGGAGACTTCCTGAGGTTGGCTTTAAGAATGGCCATGCGGGACTTCTCATCTGGCAAGGGAATGTAGATGAGCTGGTCGAGTCGACCAGGTCGGAGAATGGCAGGGTCAATGATGTCCGGCCTGTTGGTGGCGCCAATGATGAAAACGTTCTTCTTGCTTGACATGCCATCCATCTCAGTCAGGATCTGGTTGATGACCCTGTCGGCAGCCCCGCCGCCATCGCCCACATTTCCACCACGGGCCTTCGCGATAGAGTCAAGCTCATCGAAGAAGAGAACACATGGAGCAGCCTGACGCGCCTGTGAACAGAATGTAGCTTGTTTAATATCAGACTAATCAAAATGACCTCCCCACCAAAATCACCAGGATACATGTTTTTTTCATAGTGAATTTACAACTATTTCCAGAAAAAGTTTACATGACACAAAAAAATCTGTATTTAGCTGGGGACACATACTGAATATTATTAATAGTGGTGAATCTGTTAAGCAAACAGCACCACCTACTGATTATTTACACTCAAGAAAAAAGCTTCCTTTTTAATTTCCCCAAACAAACATTTTGTATGAACATTTCACCATGTGCCCAATACTTGTCCAATGCATAATGTACAGTAATTTCTTAACCTAATACTTGAGTTCAAGGTCTGAACTGACCCAACAATATTTTTAAAATACTTTATGCCTAATTGACTCACTGAGTCACCTATTCATAACTGTATATTTTCCACAAACTCAGATCAAAGTAATCTTATAATTCAGGCTATTTGACTTAATCAGATTAGTTGTTTAGATAAGAGCCCAAAAGGGATAGTTCGATTAAAATTTTATCATTATTACATAAGCCACTCAGACCTTATCGAAGATCTCCCGCACGTTGGCTTCAGATTCGCCAAACCACATGGTAAGCAGCTCCGGGCCTTTAATGGAAATGAAGTTTGCCTGACATTCGTTGGCAATAGCCTTTGCCAGAAGAGTTTTACCACAGCCAGGTGGTCCGTAGAACAGAACCCCTTTGGATGGGGTCATGCCAAACTTCAAGAATTTGTCAGGGTGCTCCACTGGATACTATAAAAACAAGATGTTCAACAAGTTTAGCAAATATGCAATTGATTAATATCGGGTCACAGAAACCAACATGTTTCTTCTACGATGACCACATTCGCTGGGCTTTCACACTGGAAGCTCAGCCTAGCTGCACTTCTGCCTAGTAGGTATTATGTGCCTCACTTGAACGTTGCTTTGGGCAAAAAATGTCTGCTAAATAGTAATTGTAATAAAAATGACATTTGTCATCATTTACCTGAACGAGTTCCTGCAGTTCTCGCTTCACATCTTCAAGTCCACCAATATCATCCCAGGTAATATTGGGTACCTCCACCACAGTCTCGCGGAGAGCTGAGGGGTTACTCTGGCTAAGTGCCCACTACAACAAGGGATGAGGAACAGGTCAAATTTATCAACTGCAAAAGGGAACGCACTGTGACAAGAAACCATAAAAAACCATTTCAGACAGAGAACGCAATCTTATATGAATCCATCTAGGTGAATAAATGGATTTTTGTTCTATATTTCCATGGGATGTGCCCTCACCCTAAAGTCATCCATGGTGACAGCCAAGGAGTTCATGACTTCAGCATCAATGGTCTCATCCTCAAGGTCAATGAGGTCCATCTTCTTCCTGATGGCCTGGAGGGCCGCTTCAGAGCACAGGGCTGCCAGGTCAGCACCCACATGGCCATGAGTCTCGTTAGCAACCTGGAACAGCAGATTTAACAAATAAGCCGAGAACTTCTGCAAATTCCTACTAAGTATCCATGCCTGATACTTAGTTTTCGGCAGTCTGTAAAAAGACAGCTCCTATTTGTTAAATTAATTTGTACAATCACACAACAGATCTTTCCCATGTGAATGTGTTTTTTGCAACATTAAAGAATGCTAAGACTGCCACTCAATTCTTTTGCCACTCAATGTGAGAGCAATGACTTCCACCTGCTATGACATCATGCGCATACCCTTTGTAGTGAGAGGAGCATAAGAACATCACATAAAAGGGAGGCAATCTAAGTATTTTATGCTTGAAACAACTAGTAACAGCAATTTGCCATCTTCATAAAAAAGTTTTGAGGTGGAAATTGCAATGGGTGATTTGGGAGTCGCTAGCTTGGGCCGTTTAGCACACTCGTTACAGCTTGTGATAAACGAGGGGCTGTGCTCGCAGCGAAGCGTAAGCGATACTGTTGCCAGTGGGAGAAAAATTCTGGGGCATTTTAAGCATTTGCCACTTGCAAATTATAAAAGATACTCAAAGGAACTGCAAATGCTTCAAAAACACTTAAAGGATGCACAAAACGAGACAGAATAGTATATTATGTACGTTTCTAGTAGCCTAAAGCATTTTTGGGAAAGTACTAGTTTTTAAAACTAGTAAATTCAAATAAGGAGCTCGGGTATCAGATCAGTACTCATATCAGCTGATACCCTCTGTTCAAATGTCAGTATTGGCACTGAAAAAGTGGGATTGGTGCAGCTCTAATGATTAATATTAAAGTAAAAAGAGCTCTTGTATTGCAATCTGTATGTTTCGGCAGTTGTGTATAGGAATCAGATTAAGATTGATAAAATGTGGATCAGCCCATGCCAATTAATTATAGCTAAAAGAAAAGAAAAAGGGATGCACATACTGCGGTTAAACATCAATAACATTTCACAATTTAAGGAGCTCTACAGAAACACTTGCTTTGATTCAATGCTTAAAAGCACAAATACAAACAAAACAAGCATATCATCAGCCTTAAAGCTGACAAGAAACATCTGATTACAATACACAAAACTGAGGCAACATGCAAGCTGCAGCAAGCTTAAGTGTCGGATTCTTCGATGAGTCAAGAAAAAAAAAATCCCAGAAATGGCTATTTCAATGTAAGGAACAGGCACCCTGTTCATCTAGACCGTCTAGGGATATTACTCAATGATGTCAGTAAAAATTAATGAACTTTCACCAAAAGAAAACCTGCGTATATGATGAGACAGCAACTCCACCCAGTATTTAAGTGGGATTAGGCCTCATTACACAGACCTGCTCGAGATCAACATCATCAGCAAGCTTCATGTTCTTGGTGTGAATCTGGAGGATTTCAAGACGCCCGGTAGCATCCGGAATGCCAATGTCCACTTCCCTGTCAAAACGGCCTGGACAAGACAATCTTGGGGTTTAAACAGGGTGGCAAATTCACCTCAGCAGCTCATATCTATGCCTACAGTCCTGTTACCAGTAGCTGTACTACCAAACCAGCAAATATTTCAGATAGCTAGACGGCTAACATTTTTAGTTAAGGATCCTGATGCCTTTTTGGCCTAAATTTGCTTTTGTATATGCAATTCATCATCATCATCATCATCATCATCATCATCTTCATAATGCACTGGCAATGTAGCTCAACACATCAACACAACCCAGTATTTATGAGGCAACAGAAACATACCAAATCGCCTGAGTGCAGGGTCGATGCTGTTGGGCCTGTTGGTAGCGGCCATGACAATGACGTGTGCCCTCTGCTTCAGCCCGTCCATCAAAGTCAGCAGCTGAGAGACTATACGCCTCTCCACCTCTCCATGAGTCTGTTGGAGATCAACACGATTGCGTAACCAGATCTATTCAAGGCCCAGCACTCCAGTTTCAGTATTACCCACTACCCGGTTCCTTCATGAGGAACTTGTTCCACTCACCTTCTCTCTTTTTGGTGCAATAGCATCCAGCTCATCAATGAAGATAATGGCTGGGGCATTTTTCTCAGCCTCTTCAAACGCCTTTCTCAAATTGCTCTCAGATTCGCCAGCAAGTTTACTCATAATCTCAGGTCCTAACATCCAGTTACAAAACATGCAAATTAAAATTATGAAATTTAAAAATAAATAAAACATTATGCCAGCCAGCTTTTGGCATATGCAACGTTTACAGATTTTCCCTCACCATTTATAAGGAAGAAAAAAGCTCCAGTCTCATTTGCAACAGCCCGGGCAATAAGAGTCTTCCCAGTTCCAGGAGGTCCATACAGCAGGATACCACGCGGGGGCTAGTAAAAGATCATGGATATGAGAGCGGTGCCCACAACTGCCCGTTTTATTTGTGTGAGATACGCCTGGTATTTAACCACTCTGGTCGACTGCCACACGGAACAGAAGACACGTCACCCACCTTCACACCAATGGCCTTAAAGAGAGCAGGATGACGCAGGGGCAATTCCACCATCTCCTTAATTTGAGCCAACTGCTTCCTCACGCCCCCAATGTCATCATAGCCAACTTCATTCAGGGATTCCTCCTCATCCTAGATCCACAAAAATACAGCTTGTTTTGTGTATCCACACACCATACACATTTTCAGCTCTATGGGGCTGCTATTCTAGAGTTTGTCAGAAAAAGGACAGATGACAAGTGCTCTGGCCTCCATGGCCAACCCACCTCCCGTTTGATGGGCTCCCCCTCGCAGTGGATGACTGTGTCTGGGGCCACAATACAGTACGGGCTGGGGTCAGTTTCCACCACCTTGAACTCAACAGCTCGCATGCCACCTCTGACTAGGAAAATATCACCTGTGAAAGGAGACAGCTAGTTATTCCAAAAAGCACAAAAGGTAACAGAACAGGACAATTCTTTCAGGCCCCACCCTGCAAAACAATCACAGCAGGGGTTTTCCCCATGCCATGAGAAAGATGTGGTGTCCTATTCGGTATCTAAGAGGTGCCCCCCCCGCTACAAGTGATGCATACAGACCGTCTTTGGATAGCTATTGTTAGACAGCATTTATTTACGTAATCAAAAAAAGATACGCTTAAGGTCTGTATGAGACAAGGCCGAGTACAGCAGAGTGAAAGAAAGGGATAACAATGAAACCACACTGATCTTTTCAGCACTGAAGGACACAAAGCGAATCAAGACAATACAACTTGGAGGGAGCTCACAATTCTACAGAAAATAAGTATCATTCAAACCTAAGATAATCAGCATTTTGACATTACCTTTCCTGATCGGCCTGTAGGCTTCCAAAAAGTATGGCTTTAGGTAAACCTCAAACAGGTTGCCTGTGATGCCCTCCACTGTGTCATCGATGGGCAGAACATGGATGCGCTTTCCATACTTCACATCTGGACAAGGCTGAATGCTGTAGCAGGACAGTGTGCATTAAGATTCCAAAGGTCTGAGTGTTAGGTAAGTTCTCCATCATCTCTAGACCATTTCCAAGAGAAACCAAAAGGGGAGGTGGAGAGCAGCCGTTTACCTTATAACATCACCCAGGCGAACCCTGAGGTTGTTGCGGACAACTCTGTTCATGCGCACTTTCTCATCAGAGCAGGTGTCGTCAGAAAGCACGATGCACACCGTCTCCCTCCTCTTCTTCCCCTTCAGCAGCACTGTGTCCCCTCTGAAGAGCTGCAGCTCATCCATCTTAGCCTGCCAGCAGATTCAGACATTTTTTTAATCACGGGGGGGTGGGGGGGTGGGAGAAAGTATGGCTACTTTGATGGGTGTGCCACATTAGAGCAAACAGATTCGCTGGCCACAGATTCTTGGTGTTCAATCTGAGCAAAGTGAGAACAGACGGTTATTCTCAGCACAACTGATATTAAAAAAAATAAATAAATAAAATGTCCATTCACAATCCATTTCGAGGTGTGGTTGTAAAACAAAATCTATGCACCAGAGGCACAAGGCTTAACATGCAATTTCACATTCACAATTGTAAATTTGTTTGTATTACACAGGAAATGGAGTGGATTTCTGCCAGCTGGGCTTCCAGTCCAGTAGTTACTGGAGGTACTTTTAAAAATGCTTTGAATGGAGCCTCTGGAGCTTCAAAAATTAAAAGATTGAGACAGGCAGCCAGACCCTGTGCAAGCATTCCTGAGTGAGATGCTCCGAAAGCTGCTTAAACTATCCCACACCTGAGAGAGAGAGACCACACTGTTGTCCTCATTTATGGACTCATCAACAATCAGCCGATTGGGTCTGTTCTTCTGCTTTAAAATTGCAGTGGAAAGATCATCATTCTTGGATCTGTTAAAAATAAAAAGGGAAGCGTTTAAGAGTTTATTTTTTATATAAGCTTTTTGCACAGAGTACCAAGCAAACAAGTTTAAAGCAATAGTTCACCTAGGATTTAAAACTGACCATCTTTGTCAACATATTTTTGTATTTCAACAAAGACAAAACCAGCATTAGAGTTCTACCCTGTATTTGACATGAAGTATACTAGCTAGGATGTTTTTTCCCTTAATAAAATGCTTCCATAACATAAATGTCTAAAATTTCTCCCACGTTTTTTTTGTCATATTGATACATAAATGTGGAAGGTGGGACAAAGAAGCATCTATAGTGCATCCTTTTCTTTTTTCAACACTTACCAACAGATTCGTATGCCAAATCCACATCACTTCAGGTAAGCAAAGGAGGTTACACTAAAATCTAGTGGACTTATCCACTTGGAAGACGGTTAACTAAACACTTAACAGGTAACCTACATTATACATTATTTATATTCCAGTGTAAATGCATCTCACCTATTGCTACAGTTTGGCCCAGTAGTACACAACTACTTTGTAAATATTTGAGGGTGGGGACAACATCTAATGTGCTTATTGCAAACAATGATGAGTCATTTTCAAACTTCAGGATATACTGACACCAATCAATAAATAGCCAATTACTATGGAATAAATGCAATTTACCAGTCATTTTGGCATTGAAGAAAAGACTACCCTCCTAGTTTAAATGCGTTTACACTAATCAAACCTTTCGAATAGCATTTTTCCTAGTTATGGGGCTGTTTTTTTCCTCAAGTGGGTAGATCACCGATTTGGTAAACAAACTACATGCCGTTCAGACAGACCAGGCCACAATGACACAGCATGAAAAACACGCAGCTTAAAATGATGATCTACATAAAAATAATAAACAAAACTCTAATAAAATAAAATCTAATAAAGCAGAAATATGCCTATTATGATGAAAAATCGGGTTTTAGGGGGCAAGCCAGGGACGAGCCATGATGAAGCTGGCCAGGCAGAGACTGGGCCAAAGAGACAGGCAATGGGCTAGCCAGATGTCTTTTAAAGGCCCCTAAAGGGGGGGGGGTCTTCTCTATTCAACGATATACCAGAATATCCCCGTCCGCTTCATTTAACAGGACACAGGCTAATATTACGACTGCCATTACCTGACTGCGTAACGGGCTACGCTAGATTCGCACCGGTGTCCCTCGTGGAAGCCCGTTACCGTTCGTTCTGCGCGTGCTCCCTCTGAGTTCTGCGCATGCTCACTGCCAATTCGATCAACCGTCACTAGGAAACCTTTAATTCTTTTAATATTTTAACTTTTAAGAGGGCAATATCTTTAATTTAAACGTGTCACCTATTTGTTAAAACGTACAATCTGCGTTCTTGGTTTTATAATGAAGGAGGTAGTACTGGATGCCGGAGCCGGTAGAACACACTGCTGGAACAGGGGAACAACTCAGCACTTCGTGAAACGGAGGACCGACGGACCTTTTAAATATACTTTAAAACTGCCCTTTTAAATAACTTGTACTAAACACCGAAACAGATGTTTCACGCCCACGTTTGGTAGAAGTTGGTAAATTAGCAGAAAATACCCACAATTTCAGGTTAAACTTGATAGGCCAAAGCCCTGCCAGGCAGAAACACGCGTTTATTTTTCCAGAAGATCAGAAATAAGAGAAAAGAAATGTTTTATCTTTTGTCGAATAAAACTATAGATCCCATTCCACTAGTTAACTAGACTGTATAAGCCTCTTTAATACACATACAAGGCAGTGATTAGCAGAATTTAGCTAGTTGCCTTATAATTCTACCTTTTTCGCTATCAATCGCAAGTAAGACCAATTTTTAATACTATGCTATACACAAATTTAATCGGTATACTAATTATAACAAAAACTATCGAGAGTATTGGTAAATTTCCCACTCGCCGGGTGCATTAGCGACGACGGTGATGATTCATTAAAAATGTCACGGCTGAAAAAACGGGAAAATACGGTTTCCATCGCGGTGACTATCTGACTACAGCATACTTACTCTCCTCCTGAAGCCATTCTGCTTCTCCTTGGCCGTTTACAGCAGGCTGTGGATTTGTTTCGGTTTTTTAATGTTTTATCTTAGTACTTTGTTATTCTTCGGTAGCCTTTCTTTCAACTTCCCCCTCAGCAACTAATTCCAAGGCCGCTCTGTTCCCTCACCTCGAAGATGTAGAGAAACTATGAGCAGACGCAGGGCTCGGGGACCCGCCAATCAGAATATTGTTTTTGCTGTCTTTTGCCTAGTAACTGCTTTGTAAGTGGTCGCAACCGAAAAATACATACCTAATGACCAATGGGATGATTAACAGTAAGGTCGCAGAAACCCATGCTGTAGCCGAACGTTTCTGCTCTTATAGGCTAGCGTAAGCGACATGGCTGCTCTTAATTGGATCAGAAACTTGTCAGTATGACTTGTTATATGGGTCAAATTCACCCTTAAGTGCACGGGAACTGTATTGTGTCGTTGTACACTTATCAGTCAAGCGAAGGAGGACTATAGACTGATATGGATAGTTTAAAGATACGGTGATCCATAGAGGAATACAAATTCCTTTGATGTAGCCAAATAATTTAATACAATATGTATAATACTGTGTAATTTAAGTATTTCAGATTTTTTTTTTGTAACTATTTAATTAGCAATGAATTCTTACGGCTTCATACACTATAAAGACAACAATACGGGGTTCATGACATTGTTGAACAATAACCCTAACTCCTAAAAATTACCTTGTGTTGAACTTTACAAGTGATTTGTTAAGAATTATTTAAAATAATACATTTTGTTATTAAAACGTCTTGGTGACCTGGAAACACTTCCCGGTAAAAAAACACCTATACGCTCGCTATAAGTCATTATTAACTTCAAAACACTACTGTAGGAAATAGATGCCTCACAATGACTAATCTGGGAAGGAATATTTAAACTCACTTCCTTGCTCTTACACCCTTTTGTTTTTGATTGTGATGGAAAAAAATAATGGAATGTTTCAGTTAGTAAGGTTGCACAAAATATTCTAATAGCAAAACCTTCATGCTTTAAAATACTTAGTAACCTCCACAGACATCGGTGATTTAACAGGATAACTACCAGAACAATTATGCCAAGATAAAGTTGGCTTTGTGGTCTTAAAAATCTGTGGTGTAAAACATTCATGGCTAACTGATGTAAAACCTTTACCATAATGATGTTTATAAAATATTCCATATTTATGCACCAAGATAAACCTTCAGACAAAGTTAACACACAAAATGTGTGCACTGTTGGTATAAATAAAAATAAATTACAATTTAAGTGCAATATATAGACACAACCACACAGTGTAATACAAGGTTACCAATGTACAGCTATTTAGACTTTCTGCTTTACTTTTTACGTCCAGACTTTCTCCTATTGGTATAATGCATGTCTCACACATTCAAATAATTAAAAAAATAAGCTGTAATAATAGATCCAGATGTTTTCCAAGAAAGTCCGAGTCACACTGCAGCTTATCTGCTAAGTTTCATTTTCTTCAGGCTCTCGGAATCTGCCGGCATCTTCTCCTGAAGGTAGGACTGTAAATGCAGGAAAACTGCAGCATTCCTGCAAACAGCATTACCGTAATGTCAGTAAAAGAGTTCACTGCTGTGTTGTTCAAAACTCGACACATTTATACAAGACAAAATATGGGTAAAATAATTAATTGCATAGGCCTAATAATGAGCTGAATATCACATAAACAATGGGATTCAGATTATTAATAATGCAAAAGGCAGTAATGAAATGACTGTGACCATTATCTACTGTTTATAGCAGTGAGACTCCTCACCTTGAGCAGTTTGGCACTAGTTCGGGCACCTGACTGGTTCTCCGGGTGCTTTTCCAGAAGGTGGTGGCTTCTTCTTCACGCCCCATGTTCCAAAGAACCCGAGTCAGCCAAAGCTCCACCACTTCAGTCCCTGTGAGTACAGGGAGAACAGCAGATCAACACCTCAAAAGTCAGTCATTTAATTATACAGTGTTACTAAGAAATTCATATAAAATGTCAATTATGGCAGCTGAAAAGCAAATGTGTGTAAGTATTTTGGGGGTAGTGAGTGGTTCAGTAGGTTGGGGCTGTGATCCTGTGATCAGAAGGTTACTGCTTCAAATCCAATGGCTGGCAGACAGATGCCACTGTTGGGCCCTTGAGCAAAGCTCCTAACCTTGCTTGCTTCATACGTGTGTCTGTGCATCTCATGGAGAGCAAAATGAGAAACAAGGAGAAAAGACTATTTCCCCAGAAGGAAAAATGAAGCACCACCATTGCATTCTAATCTCCGCCTTCAAAGTCCCACCATACCTGGAGAAGCCTGAAGACTGAGTTGGAAGTCCTGCAACGCTGCGCCTTCCTGCTTCCTGTCCATAAACCCGACGCCACGGCTAGCTAGCGCCAGAGCCTTCAGCTTCCGTAAAGCTGCCACCTTACTCGCAGCATTGTCTCCAGGGTCTCGGTGCTGCCACTCTGAGACACACACGGTGGTTTGTTACATCCAACTAATCATTACAGCCATCATCTCAAACCGAGAAACGCTCTGGACTGACGCTGACCTTCGTTTTTAAGACGCACCTTCACCAGGAGATTGATGGACCTAAAATATCCAAAAAAAAAAAAAAGTTCAAACAGAAGTAGCATTTTAACATAAACTACAAAGACATAAGGTTAGAAACCTGAGTCTGAGTTTATACCACTTTTAGCTAATTCACCAAGTAATAAAAATAGCCATTATGTCCTGTCCCAGGAGCCAGAAACACAAGCTTTCTGAAAGCATCAGCGTACCACATAAGCCCTACCTAGTTAAAGCAGTTATCTCTCCCTTACTCTCCTTCAGCCAGCCATAGGCCTGGCCCTCGATGAGGAAAGCTGTCCCCGCCCACAAGACGTAGTTCAGCCTTTCCTCCGCCTTTCCACTCTTTGCAAATAGCCCCCTCATCTCAGGAGAGAATGGCACCAAAGAGCCATCGTCCAGCTCATCCCTAAGGGGCATTTCCAGCACAAGTCTGTCCGGGATGAGCTCTGCAGTTTTCATAATGACTTCTTCACAGATCGCTATGGAATCCCAGTATCTCTCGGCCTTGAGGAGGGTGACTGCAGCCTCCAGGTAGATATCAGGAACTCTGGGCAGCCTTGAGTTGACATCTGTGTTTACCTAAAACATTCATATAGAAAAGTTATGCTTAACAGAGGCCTGGAGTGTATTGATGTTTGCAGCTTAATAAATGTTTAACACGTAATGGAGTACTACTAGAATCTTCATGCCAAAATCTGTGATTACTTTATGAGCACTTTATTTAAAGAGTACATTAAAAGAGCTACATTTAATAAAAAGGCTAAAGAGAATGTTACCAATTGCTTTAGGTCGCACTGTAATGTAGCAAGGAGGTCGAGATAGTTTTCTGCTGCCTCTGAAAACCTAAAGGAAGTACATTTATACAGCAACTGTAAATTATGATATGAAGATTCAGAGGAATATTACCGAAGTATCTCTGAATATCAGACAGTCACCTTCCACAATGCAGACATCTGTGTGCCAGGGTGTGCTGCATCTCAAGTAGGGAAGGCATCGCGAAGACCGAGTCACATGCTGGGTCGCCCAGCAGTGTATCCGGGGTAAGCAGAGGCACCCAGGTGCTGGATGGGTCACACGAAACTGGCGAGTGGGCGGCCTGCACACAGTAAGACAGGAGAGTCCCCCCGCCACCAGGGCGTCACGTTACACTGCCCGCCGGAGCCAGGGGAACGCCCAGGCATCCAGATGGGCTCAAGCACGAGGAATCGCTTACGGTGCAAAGGAGACGGAGCATCTCGATTTCAGCCGGGCAATTCTCCAGCTGCCTGTGCAGCAGGGAGCACTGGTAGAGGACAGTCCTGGAGCTGGCGCCCATCTCCAGTGCTCTCCTGTAACACTGCAGGGAGCTCTGAGGTCTGCCCTGTGAACAGGAAGTGTGAAGCACTGAGCCAGATGGACATGAAGGCCCAAGGTCGATCTTATGTGGATAGCACACCCAAACACTCAAAGAAAACCACTGTTTTATACGGTATTACCTATAGCGAAACATCCATCAAAGCAGCACGTAATGCTGAAGAATAAAAAAAGATTTAAAATATCATTTAAAGAGTTAATGCGGTGGTCCTCACCAGCCTGGCCAAACAGATGCCAGTCCGCATGTGGATCTCTGCCAGGAGTGATGTGGGAGAGGGCAGCATGGAGGCATCCTGAAGGATCTGGACAGCCTCAGAGTCTTTGCCCTCTTTCATCTTTCCTACACCTGAAAGATGAGAGACACTGAGACCTGACAGAACCCAAGGGTCACGAGGATTTGACACCAAGGATCCCGATGCAGCCTATTTCCATTGGGCAGTGGTTCAAAAATAAACAAATTATTTGCAATACAGGCAGTTCTCCACTGACAGAAGAAATGCACTACACAAACATCCGCATAAGTCAAATTTTAGCTGAGCCGGATTTACATTCCTATGCCATTCAAGACGCCTTATAGCCAGGCAAAAACATACTAATAATACATACTGAAGAATGCATATTACACAAATGAAAGTGTACATTTATTTGCAGACACAGGTTGTCTTTCTGTGTTAGTGCTTCTGTACACTCTTTGTAACCCAGATTAAGTCGGTTTTAAGTAAGTTGATTATTGCCCATACATGAATAAATGTTCATCTTGAGGGGAATTTGCCATTTATATATCACTATACTAAAGCACAGAATCACCGTGCAGGTGACACCGGTCTTGGAGAACAACGAAGAAAACAGGTAATGACCTTGTGTGACAACAGTGCAGATGTGAGCCAGCTCCTTCAACGCCCTGGGGGGCATTATTAGCAGAAGGGGGGGGTTCCTTTCAGGGCTAACCTGGACATTCTCAATTTCTGGAGGCAGTGACATGATCCCATCCTGAAAGGCAGAGAATCTTGAGATAACTAATAAAATGCAAGGTGGCTGTCCCAGAAGCCTATTAGACCAGTGTTTCCCAACCCAGTCCTTGGGGAACCCCGGACAGTCCACATTTTTGCTTGCTCCCTGCTCTCAGCCAATCAGGAACACTGAAAACCTGGTACAGGTGCTGGGAACTGAGAGGAAGCAAAAACGTGGACTGTCCGGAGTTCCCCGAGGACTGGGTTGGGAAACACTGCATTAGACTCTAAACCAGATGCATATTTAAGGTATTCCTTTTGAGTCTGGACCTTTAGGATTTATGGTGCATTTGTTTTGGAAGAACTGACTACAGCTTAAGTAGAATCTAGATCCTAAAGTTGCAAGCTGTCATCAGAAATTTGGATTTTAAAGGGTGATCATTCAGCCACATGCCTGAGTAACTGATTTAATACGACAGTCTGCCCGGAACAAACACAAAGTAATGCTGCCTGCCACCCCACTATCATACCTGAGAGTCTGGCAGAAGCAGCTTCTGGATACTGTCCAGCTGTTGTGTAGACAGCCATAGGGTCCACTGCACACATAGGAGCGCGTGGGCGCTGGGGAGGAGCCTGGGGCTCTGGAACTTCTCCAGAAACTCACGCCAGAGCACCAGAAGGTCTGAACTGGGGGGCTGACATCCAAAGGCTTCCAAAACTTTGGAAAAGTGTGCCACAAACTAAGAGACTGTACCTGGACATCTAACTATGAACAACTGATAACTTTATACCAACCAAGGTTTAAGTAGCATACACCATGACTTAACTACACGTTTGTTTAAATATATTCAATGAGAACATATATAAGGCACAGAATGTTTGACTTAGTTTGTGGTTAATTAATACGCAAGTAATAGTATAATACTATATTACTTGTGCCTCATCAAGTAAAGTTGAACCAAAAGCTGGGTATCAGCGGTAGTACCTCTAATGATCCCTTGGGTCAGTAAGTTTCCCGCTTCACAAAACTTTGAGAGACTCAGTGAAAACAGCAAAGTGTTGTAAAGCACCGTCAGTTCAAGCTCAAGGCTCGCAGCATCACACAGAGCCCCTGCAAAAGGCGAAAAAGGCCAATAGATTGCATGCGGACACACACCCGTGCCAAAACACATACAGCCCTGACATTTCCCCCCGACGTACCTTGTATTATGTGAAGCAGGCTGCACAGTTCGTTGTAGTACTGACAGCGTACATCTTGTCCATTTGCTTTATGTTTTCTCTCTGCGCACTAAAACATAAACAAAACTCTTAATGCTACTCATCATTAATCTGCTTCAAAACAACCTTTTCAACCGGTTAATACTCCTGGATATTTCACTGAAGCGACTCAAAATAAACACCCTTCCCGGGACTTTACGTCCTGAACCACTACAACAGCAAATGTCAGTCGCTAACTACAGTACAAAAAATGTTGTTCGGTAGTGTACTCAAGAGGACCATTCAAGTACCTTCCACTTTTTGACAATGTCGTTGTTTTGTTCAGTCCAAATGACCAGGCAATCACTCGGGGACATTCTACGCAGCACTGAGTTTCTGTCACAAGCGAAATAAACATGCCATGATCTCAAATACACTATCGTGTACTGCTAGTAAGAACCATAATCTAAGAATCCCTAAACTAATGGTAGTTTTAAATAACCCTTCCAGTAAGACTCAGAACATCTTTCGACTAGACGGATTCATAACTCGGAATAAGCGGCATTTTCAGTTCGAAAGAAGTACTTCCGGTGACGCAAGGAGCTACAATTTTCAAAATAAAAGGTTGAAAGTATACGAAGTTACAAACTTGCTTTAGATTGTAACATATATATGACTGTATGGGTTAACTGAACTTCTCATTGTTAGGCCTAACAGAGGTTTTAAAAAGATATATTTAGTTATCTGTTTCAATCCATGTATTTGTCAAATGTTTTGTTATTGCATTCACTTAATTATTTCACTTTCATATTTTAATAATTTTAATTAAAACATGTTGTCTGCACGTTGCTTTATATTCGTGAAATATTCAACCTACGAAAGAGATGCAAACGTACACGTGAATACAAACCAGAAACGAAAACGCCGAATGATGTTCAGCCCTGGGAAAGACCCACCATGTTATTAAAAGCGATATTTAACGTAGATCCGGCTAGGATTTTGGATTAATATTTTTGTGTAAGGTGGTGGCAGTTTTCACAAAGCAAAATTGATGCTAGCTAGAATTGACTCCCTCTTTTTGTAGGTCTATTATAATTTCCTGGTGGTGGTTATAGCCCAAATTATGTTGCAGCGCACAATCCAGAATTACGTAACCGATTACACCAACTGGGTATTAATTAAAACCGGAGGGTTGGAGCTGCAAGCTGATCTTCCCATCTGATTGATTCTAAAGAGTTGGTTTTATAAGCCCACTGCTGACTTATCGACATTAAAACACAGATCTGACTGCAACTATAGTTAACTGACAAAACTATTCCTTAACTACTTTTATGATGACGTGAGTCTGGACGCTGCATTTTAATCATAGACGTACATAAACACCTAGAGGAAACTTCTGAAATGCGGCAGTAGATATGACCCTGTACGTAGGGAAATAACCGGATTCTGACACTAGAAGCTGAGGTGCTTTTATTCTTTAACGACGAGCAGCCAGAAAGCAGCGCACGTCCAGCCTACTTCCGGTCATTCTGAACTGTAGTGTATAAAGGCAGCAGTTTCACATAACAGAAAACTAAGAAAACAAACGCAGATAAAATATAGTGAATTACAATGATACCCTGGGTACGCATAACGTATAATGTAAACTAAATTATATATATACTGTATATATATATATAAAAATCTGGATAAAAACGTGACAGTCTGGAACTGTGTTTTATTCCTACATAAAGATTTCTGACATTTCTGCTCCAGTTTGATTATCCAGATATGCGGCCAATCCCAGAATGCAAACAGATACTGCAGCCTGCCTTAGCTAATGTTGTATGCAAGTGTTTATTAAATGTGACTGTCTTTATTCATTATAATGACTTATATGAAGGTCACATCACATTTAGGAGCCATTAATGCAGAAATCCATATAATTCCAAAGGGTTCACAAACTTTTTCTCACAACTGTTTTTATACCCTTAACTGGTAATATCTGAATGTGAGTTTCTCCTCACTGTTATTAATTATCAGCAACGATAATACGAGCAACAACAATAATAATATCGGTCATCTTACATACAAATGCACCCACATGCAGTTTTCTTGTCACGTAGAAGGAACCCTGAGTTGCGGTTTTTTGACCTGCGCATCTGCTCCTATAGAAAAGCGGCGTAGCTACGGTGTAATTTGCGGTTTTTGGTAAATTAAGGGGGATATATTGCTGTTTGTTCGGGTTTTGGGGTCGATCCGTCGCATATGACTTGTTCCACATGACCCTATATGCAGGGTGCTGCAGCATAAACTAAGAAACTGCGTCATATTCTCCCTCTTTCCCCGAAGTCGCCCAGCGGAGACGCGTCGCCCGTCAGTCCGTCCGGCCGAGTCTGAGGTTGGGGAATAAAACGCAAAATGGTACGGATTTTCATTCTGATTTCGTAGGTTGGCATGTTTTAAATAATAGTTCCAGTGTTTCTCAATAATTATCTTCTAACTTGTGAGTTGTCATCACTTGTACTTTTCGAATCTGTGGGTTTTATTTTCGAAAAGGTACGAGCCTGTCACGAAAGAATATACAGCCTATATTTTATCTAGCGACTACGATCTAAATTTTTATACATTAACAATATTACAGTGTTATGGAAAAATAATATTATATATTTGGATTTCGTGCCGTACTATCGAGGACCAATTGCTAATAGGAGATTTAGTCTGTTTATGCGCCACATTAATATTTTGTATTAACAGACTGGCATCTATGCATACACGATTTTGACTGTTTTAAAAGATCTTCTGTAATGTAATCTTTACTCTTTGACTGCTGTTGGTTATGGTACACCATCTGCCCACGAACAAGTATGAATACTGTTGGAATAACGTTACCCCTTGTTATTAATAGCGAGTTAACGCCCATTTTATCTGCGGCTGCAGCAGTCTGTTGGCATGTAATCAGAGGCTGGTTTAGGGAAGGTTCTGGAAGCACGGTGGACGTTTATGCAATAATTGACTCTGTTCTTGATGATTGCCTGCGTTGTGCCGCAGGCTGCTTTACAGTGGTCGGTATATATGCACCCCAGTATATTTCTGGGACGTGCGCATTGTGCTGCGAGAATGCGGCAAATGTTAGTTTGGAAGTTACGTGTTCTACATATAGCGGCCCTTCAGTGTTTCCCTCAATCTGTGCAAAAAAAAATACCTGAAATGACGGGATCTAGAGAACACGTACAATTACTAACCACAGCAGCCAATCGAATTATTTTTTTGAAACTTAAAGACTGTTACAGGCCCAGTTTTCCCGATAAGGAAAATCAAAACATTTTAGGTTTTTTACTTTCTCTCGGATGAATTGTAAAGGGCATTGTGAAGATCTGTTTGTAAAAAGCCATCTACTATATCTAATGTAAGAGATTAAATGAATTTCTCATGCTTGGTTAACAGGTGAACTTCACTGTAGACCAGATCCGGGCAATCATGGACAAGAAGTCCAATATCAGGAACATGTCTGTGATTGCCCACGTAGACCATGGAAAATCTACGCTGACTGACTCGTTGGTCTGCAAGGCAGGCATCATTGCCTCGGCACGGGCTGGGGAAACCAGGTTCACAGATACACGGAAAGATGAGCAAGAGAGATGTATCACCATAAAATCAACGTAGGTTTCACCATCTAAAACAAGGCCACATTTTTCTGATATAAACCGCTGAGGCACCACAATTGTTAAGATCATAGCTTTATAAACAAAATAACTAGTTCACATTTCAAAAGGCGTCCAGCTGTTGTAGACTTTAGCAAGTAATCTAAACAGCTTAAACTTTCTAACTAGTTAGCCCTGTAACTTACTGACTGCAGATGTAGGCATATTTCCTATGATCTTATTTATTCATTTCCCCAGTATGGTTATCCAAAAGGTTTGTTTGTAAAACAGCAGCACTCCGTCTTTTAAGTGCTTCTGATGGGCATGATTAGTATGTCTTTTATTATTGCTGTCAAGACCTCAACACATCTGATCGTATTTGGTGGCACTGAAGTCAATCGTTTCCCTTTCAGCGCTATTTCGTTGTATTACGAGCTTCAGGAGAATGACCTGGCCTTCATTAAACAGTGCAAGGATGGCTCTGGTTTCCTGATAAACCTCATTGATTCCCCTGGTCATGTCGATTTCTCTTCTGAAGTGACAGCCGCACTCAGAGTTACTGATGGTGCACTTGTAGTTGTCGACTGTGTTTCAGGTACGTTGGGACTAGACTGATGTAAAGAGAGGTACACTTTTATGATTTATTGTAGTTCTAAGTGTTTCTGCTCTTGAACTTTTACCATTTGATTATTCATTGGAGAGTTGCTTTGAGCTTGAAAGCCTGATTGGAGATGATTTTTTTGGGGAACATTTGTAGTTTTCACGTGATAAACTGGCCACAGTTTTTAGAGCAGTGTTTCCCAACCCAGTCCTCGGGGAACCCCGGACAGTCCACGTTCTTGCTCCCTCCCAGCTCCTAGCCAATCAGGAACATCGAATACCTGGTACAGGTGTGCTGGGAGCTGAGAGGAAGCAAAAACATGGACTGGGTTTGGAAACACTATTTTAGAGTACAAGCCTGAACTTTGTGTCTGCAATGTTTTACTTTCTTTTACCAAAGTTAACGTGAAGTTGAGGTTTAAGTTGTGTGTGTATGTGTGTCAGGGGTTGAACAAAGGGTTGTCCTGAATGGGGACTTTTCCTACAGGTGTCTGTGTACAGACAGAGACCGTGCTCAGGCAAGCCATCGCAGAGCGGATAAAACCAGTTCTTATGATGAACAAGATGGACAGGGCTCTGCTGGAGCTGCAGCTTGAAACAGATGAGCTCTATCAAACGTTCCAGCGTATTGTGGAGAACGTCAACGTCATCATCTCGACCTATGGAGAGGGAGAGCATGGGCCAATGGGCAACATTATGGTTGGTTTTGATGGAGAAGCAGCTCTGTGTAAATGCTAAGTGCAGAAGCTACTGTAAATGAACATTACACTGTCTTCTGACCATGGTTTGTTTTGTGTGTATCACAGGTCGACCCAGTTGTTGGAACGGTAGGATTTGGGTCAGGTCTCCATGGTTGGGCTTTCACGCTGAAGCAGTTTGCTGAGATGTATGTGGCCAAATTTACTGCCAAGGGGGACAAGAAGGCAGAGATGTCACTAGCAGACCGTGCCAAGAAAGTAGAAGACATGATGAAGAAGCTCTGGGGAGACAAGTGAGTCAGGACATGGTGCTCATGGGGTCGTTTGATGAGTCTGTGGTTCCTGCCGAGAAAGGTGTCCTCACATGCCTTTGGGATCTGAGAGCTACACTATACTGCTTTGATATTTAGTGTTTAAGGGGACAAAGGCAGCTCCAATCAAGGTATGCCTTTTTCTAGGTACTTTGACCCTGAAGTTGGAAAATTCAGCAAAACAGCAACTAATGCAGAGGGCAAGAAGCTTCCAAGAACTTTCTGCCAACTCGTCTTGGATCCTATATTTAAAGTAACTACATCCAAGTTATTTAGTAGATAATTTATAGTGAATTATTGGTCAGGGATTAGTTCTGTAGACATTTAGGAGTGATTTGGCCTTTGTGTTACTGATTTGTGCATCATTGCAAGCTGTGGAACTTTTGTGAAATGCATGACCAGTTTTTTTTTGTTTTTTGACATTTTGGGCAACAGGTTTTTGATGCCATCATGAATTTCAAGAAGGAGGAGACCCAGAAACTGACTGAGAAACTCGACGTGAAGTTAGACGCAGAAGACAAGGAAAAGGAGGGGAAGCCGCTGCTCAAGGTGTTTTAATCACACGCTCCGAAGCATTCATTCATATTTTTATTTTTAGATTATTATGGAAATTTATTTTTATATTAATGAGTCATTATAATTCAAAAACTACAGATTTGTTAACCTGTTAAATTGCCTGTAAACATTTTGAAACACAGTGATTAAGGGGTTAATTGGAACAAAACCAGCATAACATTTCCCCAGGACCTGCTTCCAGAACTGCTTTATTCTGGGTCTGGTCCTTTGTTTATGTCGTTGTTCTTCCAGCAAGATGTCTTAATTAGCAAAGCCTCATTGTTATGAAGTAATTATCCAGATGGTGCATCTACCACTAATTACTCGGTACGGCTGATATAAGAAGAAAATTACTGTTACACGGTTGATTATATGTTACATATCCTGACTTGATTAATCTCCAACAGCACTAAATACTATTTAGGTATAAATCAGACATTCAGGTACTCAGTTTTCATAGATTATCGAAGTTCATAAACAGGGCCGTAGCAAGAATTTTTTAAATACCGAGGTCAGAAGCGCTAGGTGTCCCAGGTGTGTCCTGTAATGGGTCGTGGTTATTGAAGTTGTAGAAACATATACTGAGGATTGACCTTGGTGTCCTTAATGGTAGGTGTGGGCATGTTTGTAAATTATATTTGGTACGTTACTATCTTTTAGATGTGTTATTAACCCATCACAGACGAAAATACCTTTTGAATTGACTGTGCTGGTAGATTAACCTACGGAGCACAGCTGACCGCCCAGTAAGCAGGGACGGATTATGGGTTCTGTGGGCCCCTGGGCAAAACGTCAGCCAAACGCCCTCCCTCCATGTTTCCATCAGAGGCCCTATAGGGTCAGGGGCCCTTGTAGGCAGAGGATCAAAGAATGTAGGCCCTCTAAAATAGACAAACGAAAATACATTGTTGATAAGCGTTGCAAATTGTTTTGGGCTAGGGGCCCCACGGGCCCCCTGCACCCCAAGGGCCCTTGGGCAGCGGCCCCGCTGTCCCGGTCCGTAATCCATCCCTGCCAGTAAGGCACACCTGATTTCGGCTCTGGCCACTGTAGACAGACCCAGGAACCCCTGACATGGAGCTCACATGGTCCACATTCTGTATACCAAGCGTATCTCCTGAGAGTGTTCTAGAGACACCCCATCACTTCCTGTGCCACGCAGGCAGTCATGCGGCGATGGCTACCAGCAGGGGACGCCCTTCTTCAGATGATAACCATCCACCTGCCGTCGCCTGTCACCGCTCAGCGGTATCGCTGCGAGCTGCTGTACGAGGGCCCGGGAGACGACGAGTCGGCCATGGGTGAGAAGATGGCATTACGTCACAGTCCCCCCCCTTTTCTGTTCTGTCCATTTCAGCAAGATTGTATGATATTTTTTTTTTTGCTGCAGGTATAAAGAACTGTGATGCCAAGGCTCCACTTATGATGTACATCTCCAAAATGGTGCCCACCTCGGACAAGGGCCGATTCTATGCTTTCGGCCGGGTCTTCTCAGGCACGGTAGCCACCGGCCAGAAGGTCCGCATCATGGGACCCAACTACACACCTGGAAAGAAGGAGGACCTGTACTTGAAGCCCATTCAAAGGTGAGTTACACTCACAACCATCTGACACGTGGCTTCGTCGTTGAGGGTGATGGACGATGCTTATAGCTGGTTACAAGCCACAGCTAAAAAGGAGAAGGAAAAAAAAAAGACAGTGAATGACCTTTTATTGAATTATTTATGCAGTACATGGGCTATGACTTCACTGGTTTCGCGAACTATTGCCTAAGATTTGTGATTGGAGTATAAGAGCTCTGATGTTTATAAAGAAGTATAATTTTTGCTGATATCAGAATATGCTGTATTTTCTAGTTCTAGAAAATTGGTAGAAAATACTCTACTGCAGCATGCGGCTCAGTGGGCTAAGCTTCTGTGCTTATGGGTGATAGGTTGCTGGTTCGAGCCTGCCCTTAGCACGTATGTGGGTCCTTAGCCCCCAACTCCCTGGGTGCTGCTATGGGTGGCTGCTCTTTGTGGTCAGCTTGCTCTCACCTACAGGAAGGAAGAGGGGGGAAGGTGTAAGGATAACCATTATTAGTCCCACTACAGACAGTTTTGAACCCTTTTAGTCATAGATTAAAACCAGTTGTCCACCAGTGTTTTGATTTTTCACTGAATTAAATTAGATCAGATGTTTTGACCATTTGCTGGAGATGACAAGACAAACCTATGAGCCTTTCTGTGACAGGACCATCCTGATGATGGGCCGGTATGTGGAGCCTATTGAGGATGTGCCCTGTGGCAACATCGTGGGCCTGGTGGGCGTGGACCAGTTTCTGGTAAAGACGGGCACCATCACCACGTTTGAAAATGCCCACAACATGCGAGTGATGAAGTTCAGCGTCAGCCCCGTGGTGCGCGTCGCCGTGGAGGCGAAGAACCCCGCTGATCTGCCCAAACTGGTGGAGGGGCTCAAGCGACTAGCCAAGTCTGACCCCATGGTACAGGTGGGTCTCCGGGGTCATGATGTGGCCCCATAACCTCGATACTGATGGGTATAGTTTCTGTTGAAGACCTGCCGTTGTCCCCATGAATAAACTGCTCTAGGAAAATATACAGCTACACGAACGGGTAAAAGAGTCACTTTGGAGGAAAACTTCAGCTAAGGAAAGAAATGTGGTTAATCATTATTGTTTACGGGAAACTGAAATGTAGCCATAGGCGTGTTGTGGATCAGCGTGTTTCTTAAAACATGTCCTGTCTGTGTCATCAGTGCATCATTGAAGAATCAGGCGAACACATCGTGGCGGGTGCTGGGGAACTGCATCTGGAGATTTGCCTGAAAGACCTGGAGGAGGACCATGCCTGCATCCCGCTGAAAGTAAGAGCCGCTGCAACCCTCGGATAAATCTGGACAGCCGTGCCCTGTATTTACGGACTGCAAATGGACTGCGGAATGTTCCGTGCCCACAGAAATCGGATCCCGTGGTCTCCTACCGCGAGACGGTGAGCGACGACTCCGACCAAGTCTGCCTGTCCAAGTCCCCCAACAAGCACAACCGACTGTACATGAAAGCGCGGCCCTTCCCGGACGGCCTGGCGGAGGACATCGACAAGGGGGATGTTAGCGCGCGACAGGAGCTCAAGCAGCGCGCTCGCTACTTGGCCGAGAAGTACGAATGGGAGGTGACCGAGGCTCGCAAGATTTGGTGCTTTGGGCCTGATGGAAGTGGACCTAACATCCTAGTGGATATCACCAAGGGGGTCCAGTACCTGAATGAAATTAAAGACAGCGTCGTGGCTGGCTTCCAGTGGGCAACCAAAGAGGTAAAGCACTTAGAATTTTGGAGGTTATATTTCAGTGTATTTTATTTATTAGGCAATTTTATGCAAAGTGATGTACATTTGAGGAAACAGTAGGATCAGCGAGTCCTGGAGGAATTGGAGTTAAGGGCCTTGCTCAAGGGCCCAACGGTGAAAACATCCTGCTGATCATGGGATTTGAACCAGCAACCTTCCAAACACAGGCTCTAACTTGCAGAACCACACACTAGCCTGATGATAGGTGATCGATTGATCACATTCATTAAATATAAATTCATATTTAAGACCATACAGGCATGTGGGTTTTATATCATGAGTGTTTAGGTCAAGTATAGATCACCTAGGAGTTAAAAACGCAAAGGTGAGTAACGCCTCTGCTGTCGCGTACCAGGGTGTCCTGTGCGAGGAGAACATGAGGGGCGTGCGCTTCGACATCCACGACGTCACGCTTCATGCCGACGCCATCCACAGAGGCGGGGGCCAGATCATCCCCACGACACGGCGAGTGCTTTATGCCTCTGTACTCACAGCCAAGCCCAAGATCATGGAGCCCATCTACCTGGTGGAGATACAGGTGACCTTCCCAGACCTTTACGAGCATCCATTTCAGCTCCTTCTCCATGTTATAATACTGCTGTATAAACTCGCCAGTGATTTGTCAGTTATTTGATGCCATCAGTCATTTGTATCGTGTCTTACACTGATGTTGTTAATTAAGCTCTCTAGAGCAACTGGCTGGAAAGGTGTCATATAAAAACGAATTTAATTGAGTCAGCTGTAAGGGGTGTTCGGTCCAGTTAAGGTCCAGAAAGTGCAAATCCAGACCAAGATTTTGTTTCAACCAACTAATTGAGTATTAGTAGTCGCAAAGTATTCAACTGGTTGTATATAACAAAACCTTGGTCTGGATTTGTCCTTTCTCGACCTGAACTTTCCACCTTTAGTTTAAAGTTAGAAAGTGCTTAAACCCACTGTTTCAAATCACCATCACTTAAAAGTACAAAATAGGAATTTTTATGGGAATTAATATTTATAGAGTAATACAATTGGATTGATAGGCAGAATTTACAAATTTAGCACAATGAGTACACTGAGTACTGAAGACAGGACATAACTAGACCATGAACTGAAACAGAAATTAAATGGAACACGTTTTCTATTTCAGGGGGCGAAAATTCCCTTGGAGTAGCAGAGGATGTTTACGTTTCTCACGCATGCTCTAATAAATGGCTGACGGTATCTCCCGCAGTGTCCGGAGCACGTCGTCGGAGGGATCTACGGTGTCCTGAACAGGAAACGAGGCCACGTTTTTGAGGAGTCCCAAGTGGCAGGAACACCTATATTCGTGGTGAAGGCCTATCTTCCGGTAAACGAATCCTTTGGTAAGTTCTTCCAAAGCATTTAAACCATGAAGTGATGTCGGCTGAGGAAGTAATACATGATTGTCGACTAAAGGCTGATTTACAGTTTTGTGTAGAATCTACGTCGTAGGTAACTGTGTAGCCACATACTCTGTGCTGTAGCTTGACTCACATCTCCCCAGAAATGTAACTGCAGGTGTTGGGCCACAGCCTGGGTTCCCATGGACCGAACCACAAGTTAATCCGGACCCAGCTGATAATCCTCCTTATGAATCAATATGGTTAAAGTAAAAAGGCTTAACGTGGTTCGAAGTACAAAAATACAATGAAGAACCACCACACTTAACACACAATTCCCCCCCACCCCCCCCTTTATTTCAAAGAGTCAAAAAGATCAGGGAGCGTTAATAAGTTCTCATTTTGTTATATATTGATGTCTATGTGGAAGGTTATTCTTAATTCATTAAACCTCATGAAATGCTGTTTTGTTATTCAAAATTGTTCCGGACCCCTACCTTTGAATGAAAATCGGACGCGGATCTTTGCTCAGAAAAGTTTGAGAACTGGGCTACAGCAAAGGCTATGTGGCTTCCTATGGCGTATATTCTACACAATTTATAGGATATTATAGGATAAATAAATTCTGAGAAAATGGATGCTCTTCCTGCACACAGGCTTCACAGCAGACTTGCGGTCCAACACTGGGGGTCAGGCTTTCCCGCAGTGCGTGTTCGACCACTGGCAGATCCTCCCGGGCGACCCATATGACGAGAACAGCCGACCGAGCCAGGTGGTGGCGGAAACCCGTAAGCGCAAGGGTCTGAAGGAGGGCATCCCAGCTCTCGACAACTTCCTGGACAAGCTGTGATCGACAGGACGACCCGCTATGTCCACCATGCCGCTACATCACGAAAAAACCCCAGGAAACCCAGATAGGAACAGAGTAAATGTCCAATCAGAAATTGTAAAAAGGGGGCTTTCAACTCATGTCATTTAATCATCTTATGATTAAATATAAAAGCAAACTTATTTTCTGTGATTGACCATTGCTGCATTATCCTGTATTAACAGTGTAAGTTTGCTGTTTGACATATGTCAAACTTATCAGTAGGTACTGTAAATACAAATACTTGTCAAACTGCTTTGAGTTACTTGGTAATCCTTTAGAATCTGGTTAAAGTAACAAGCTAGTGTATTTTACCTCCATTGGCTTAAGTAAACTGTAGGAGTCCAAGCAGAAGCGGAATTAGGTACAGGTAATAGGTACACTGATAGTGCTAAGTACTGAACATTGGCTAATGAGTGTAGATAGCCAGTGACCATAGACACATCCCCAGTGAATGTGAACAGTGAATATCAGCCAGTGAACATGCGCAGTGAGAGCCTGCCGCTGCAGCTGCGCTTCTCTGTGCCTAGTGAGATTTTGTAAAATGTCAGTATACCCGGGATGCAATACTGAGCTGTGAAACAAATCTTGACCGAAGAACTGTTTCCAACTAATCAACAGGCGTAACATTTAAGTTCGCGATGGTTACTCGACTTCTGTTTAATTCTTTTACTAACGATGCATCGTTACGTTTTACGAAGGGTGGTGTTATAGGGGGCAGTTCACTCAATATCGAATGTAATTTGCTAACAAAGTTAATAATACTGAAAAATGATTCAGGCGTTTTAAATGGTCAAAATCTGCAGACCACAATCAGACAGCGGTATTTAAAACCTTTACATTTTAACCCTCCAGAGAAACTCCAGTGTAATTTTCATTCCGTCGATTAAAGTGATTTTGTAACTATAGCATAGGGTCTGTGTGCAGGTCGTTTATTCGTAAAGTATCTCAGTGTGCATTATTAGTTCAGCCACCGTAAATCTACAGAGCCTCCGTACAAATATGGTCCTAAATCGCAAAGATTTTGGTGCACAAATCAAAAAAAGCGAAATGGCCGTTATTACACGTACTCCCCCGCTGCGAAGGTAAGCTGGGTGCAATAGTCTAAGTTTACTCGGTTGTACTGTTCTGATCCTGACACATTCACATACATGCAGCTGTTCATGTCTTTGTATAAACGGAAAATAAACGCGCAATGCTGACTGTCAGATCAATATGCGTGTGATACAGGTTCAAATACCACCGACTTGCTGTTTCCTTTACAAACTTACCGGAATTCCCACTTCCTGACAGTTCCGGGGTGCTGGTAGCCCTTTACCATGCCGGGTAAGATCTGTTTCTTTCCAGAAATAAACACAGGCTCGCCAGCTCTCCCGCATCTGGCGTGATGCTCTCCCAAGAACTCCTACGGCAAATCTATATTATTTCATTATAAACCTAAAATTGGCTACATCAAAAGCCTAGGGGGAGTTTGCAAACCCTACTGACTATTTACAGTGTAATAAAACTCGTATGCATGTGTGTGCAGACTTGTCGCGAATTGAAAATGTCGCTCCGTCCAGCTTGCAACCCTGTAAACGGGGGCAAAACCATAACGAGTGAAAGTCCCACCGAGTGTGGCTCAGTGCGCTGAGCCTCTGGGCTTGTTACTGGAAAGTGGCCAGTTTGAGCCCCAGCCTCAGCAGAATAGTCACATGGTCATGGACCCTTGAGCGAGGCCCTTAACCCCCAGCCTCAGAGGTGCTGCACGTTGGCTCACCCTGTGATGTGATCCGACCCCCTCCCCCAGCTGTGGAGAACAAGATGGGGTAAGTGAAAAGAGAATTTCCCAGTTTCCCGTGGCAATCAATAAAGTATCACTATTGTAAATGACTATAAGAAATACTAAAGCAGGTTTCACAATCGTGTTGACCTTTATGTAAAAAAAATCCATTAATTCAAACTTTAGACGTAACAAAATCTTTACAAATGTTTGCATAATATGTAAGGTAAATTAACAAATAAATTCTTATAATTAGTTTTACTTATTGTGCACATCTTACATAAAGAGGGTAATAGACAATTCAGGTTACTGAGCATCAGGTACAAAAAAAATAAATAAAATAAGCCCACATTGAAGTGACCACCAGAGGGCAGTCAAGCCACCTAGAGTTAGTAGCTAAAACAGCTGCTGGGTTATGATGAAACCCGTGTAGAATGAAACGGTATTAACTCACTATCAGGCAGTTTAAGCATGCGCTGTGTCAGCCTTCATAGGCTTCACCAATCCGGGGACTGTAGTGCCAGTGCCTGATGAACAAAGTGTGCGGAGATGGACACGTGGTTCATGGAGTGAGTTTGAGGGTTTGTCTTGCCGCAGCAAGCAGAATGTATTGGTATGGATGAACGGATCTGCAAAACATAGGCAACATGGCAGCACGTAACAAGATGCCAATAATGTAAATGAACCCCCCCAGAACAGTAAAGCCAGTTCTATATTATCAGTGTAGACTGATATATATCAGTTATTGCATATCTATTAGATATTGTTTTCAAAACAAGCTAACAGGTATTCTACCAATATAACCCAGCCATCTTAATCATAAGAACTCTGCTGATTTTAGCAGGATAATATTAAGAGAATATTTTGATACCGCAAAATATTTTTATAGGTTTAAGAGGTTTGCTTGTGTTTATTACCATGGCAAACTCTTATTACCGGCCTTGAAACACACAAATCAATTTTCTGCCCATTCTGGTCAACTTTTTAAAAAAATCAATCACTAGGAATATCTTCTGCCCTTAGTATTTCTGGGAAAACATGCATTTCAACCACTCTGAAAATGCAGTCTTAAAGATAGCAATTTAATATTTTATTAATAACTTTTTTTCTCCTCCAAAGCCTCAATCCGGGGCAATTCACTGTATTCCTGTTCTGTTTTCCATTACTGCAAAGAGGTATTTAGGTATGGAACCATCATGATTTTTGGACACATCTTATTTTTATAATGCCAATGTAATGATGAAGCCACAAAATAAAGCTAAAGGCGAATGATCAGTATTTTCTATGAACCAAAAAAAAATAAAAAATTGCATCATTGAAAAACAACTCAACCAATGATCCTGGAGGAGTTGCCAAAATAACATCTCCTGAGGCTAATTAATTCAAATGAAAGCAGTGATCCAACACAATCCTTATGCACATTCGGTGCATAGCAGTACTATATGCCTTTCTGTCAGTGCGCCGCCACTGGGTTTTATAAATCTCATTAGTATTTAAAAAAATAGTTTTCTGTTTTTAGGAGGAAAAAAAGATGTACATGAACAAATGTGCCTTCGTTTGGAGGATGTGGTTGATACGCCAGCGTTGTTAATTAGTATCGACACACTGGGAGCCGGTCGTTCAAATTAGCCACACAAATCCCACTTGACGGTGATGGGGTGATTTGGGTGTGGAGCTCTGCGATAAAGGTGAAAGGTCTGCAGAAAATCAATGCCTACTTGAACAAGCAGATAGGCTGCCCTGCAGCCTCCGTATTGGCTGAAGTTATTGATGATCTACTAATCAGGAAAGTGAAGGATGAGAGCAGAACAATGAGGAATAAATGCAGACAGTGGCCCTTTGGTGTGTGTTTTGTTAATGGTTTTCAGTACGCAGTGCTACCCAAAGCAGTACTTTATGAGTAAGAGATATTGTTAAGTATTCTAAATATTTAGGTGATATTGTAAGTGTGCTACTAAGCAAATGCAGATTTGCAAAAGAATGATATTGTTGTGTTTCCGAAACAGATGAAATGGTAAGTGCCCCCGCAGTTTTAGGTGGAAGACACCATCTTTGTGGGTCAGCAGGTTGTTCTTGAACATCAGAATAGTTTATTTGCATTTATAGCAGCATTTGCTTGTCCTTGACTTAACTCCATGTCCAGTTGCTTATCCAGTACTGCCTTGTGACACAGTGGCACTGGCAGCAAAATTCGACTGGGGCAGCCATCAAGGGTCACAGTGACAACACTGCACCAGAAAATAAAATGATGCATATTCTGTTTTTATTATTTTGATGAAGGGTGCCACCCCTCCATAGATCCACCCCTGCAGTGACATCACTGGGTCACTGGTGAGTGACTCAACAGGTTGGGACTGCCAACAGTGACTGGAAGGTCACCAGTCTGACTCCTAAGACTGGCGGACTGACACCACTGGGCCCCACGGCGGGGTCCTTATCCCTAATTGCCCTGGGGCACCACCCACTGACCAACCCTGCACTGTCCCCCCAGGCTGGTGCCCACCAGTACATACACCCATGTGTGCCATGGAGAGTGAGACGGGAAAGCTGAAAACCATGTGATGAAGGAAGTGTCACTGGTCTATGATTTCAAAACTGAATTGAATGGTTTGAATTCTCCAATAATATTAAATTTAAGCAGAATTTGGTAGATATCTTCCTTTGGTACTTTCCATGGACCCATCAGTACATGGGCGGAGTGGCAAGCATGAGCCCCCCCCAGGAAGCTGAAAGCCAGGGGCTCCATGGGGGGATGACGGGACACCAGCACATCTCAGGGCAGACGCTTCCACTCACACTGCTGGTAGGGGAGGGGAATGTTCTTAAAAATGTAAAGCCAGAGAAACCCAGTAAACACAAGAGGGACTGGAATTTGTGTGAAATTGACCTAAAGCTGCTACAGAATCTGCTGTATGTGGAACTAACAAGAGTGACTGTGGTGGTTTTTATACACTAGTATGTCAGAGGGAATCATGTTAGAATTAATACTAAACCTAAAATGAAGATCACAGATTTTGTTTGTTTATTTCCTTCCTTCCTTTCATTCATTCATTCATTCATTCATTCATTCATCCATTCATTCATTCATCCATCCATCCATCCATCGCACCAGTAGGGTTTGGTGGTTCACATGGAAGCTGTTTCAGGGGACAAAGGCAATCAGAGGCACATCCTGCATGGGATGCCAGTCCGAGGCAGGACACGCCCACAATATGCTATTTATATTATGGTCAATAAACTCATTCATAACATGACACATCAACACAGTTTATCCATTTGGGCCCAATAAATTTCATGCGAGAAATAAGCATTTTATGGACCAAATTATCCAAATAAGACTCCAAAGTGAGTTCAGTTATAGACACACACGCACACCCACACTTATCAAAAAGCAATCCGATGGCATTTCTTTTTCCAGTAGTACAGTACCTATATCGATGGGACGCATTCTATGCAGCGAAGCAGAAAATTAACACTATGTTATAAAACATGGATTTCTGTCCGCCGCTGACAAGACAACATATTATTGAACAACCGGCTTGTAATTTGTTTATGCAGAAGTTTAATGTAACACTTCTTGAGCTCAATAACAACTCATTTTACCCGCAAATGTTAGCAAGACCGCGGACCTAATTGCATCAGTTCCTCAGCCCGTAATTAAGTCGCCCTCGCTACGTTTCAGCAGTTTAATGCTGCGCAGCTGCATCATTAGTCTAATTGCCGACGTTTGTGAGTCTGATCGGCTAAATAGTCACTTTTTTTCTGCTGTCGTTTAATAGTTTAATTTCCCCGATTCGAGCACCTGCGCTTAAGTGTTTGACCATCTGTTGTGATTATAATGTTTTAACGCGTATAATCGGCTTTATTGCATTTGCCGTGCCGTGTGTCAGCTAAAGGAAGCCGCATAGTACAGCTTTTCATTCTCAAAATCGGACAACAGGTAGCATTGTTAATAAAAACTGAAATGAATCACTCATATAAGTGATTCATATGAGATAAAATAATGGAGAATATAACGAGAATACACATCAGACATAGACTGAGAAAAAACAAATCGTTATGAATAAATCAAACCTGTAGAACATATGGCGCAAGTATGTGTTTGTTATTTATTTTCCAAATGTAGTTATATATGGAGTAGATTTGTGAAAATGGGCCTGTATTTTGAAACCGATCTCCTCCTTAAATCCGACAACTTATCCGGCTAAGCAAGAAATCTGGCTTCGTGATACAGCCCCAATGTTATGGTTGACAAGGATGAGGTGTGTATGTAGGTGTTATCACGCAGGAATTGCACGTACCACCCTGATTGTGCAGCATAGATTAGCAATGCAATGCAGCACGTCTACGTTGGGAATGCACCTTCTGATTACTGTCACTACGGGGACTGAGTCCACTGTGGAATTGAGTCAATCTGACTCAACCAGGCACGTGCTGGGGGGGGGGGGAGGAGTGAGCACCTGCCCGTTAATGTTAACTTGTGCCTTAGCTGTAAGCATAGGCATACTGATGCCCCTTTTTAACCTTTGAGCAGCTGCACAGGCCTGGAGTCAGCCGTGTTCAACTATTAAAGTATTAAACTACAGTATTCAAGTAATAAAGGACTTCAGACCATCTGTCGAACCTGCGCCCTTAACAATTATAGAAAGTTAAGGTCCATTTCATCTATTTGCATAATTTTTCATAAAATGGCTGATTACCTTTAATTGTCAGTAGGCTATTCATACTGACAAACCCCCTCGCAGAAACGGAACATACACTTTTTTTGTATTTGGCTTGCTTCTAGTTTATTTTGTTAGTTTTAGTTAATTTTTAGTTGCTTTTGTGTTTGGCCTTTCGACGGTGTTGCATGCATGACTCATGTGCATATGTGACACCCTTTGGCTTCGAAAATGCATTGCAACTGAATGGTGTTACCGCCATAAAGAACTGATGCAATTTTGGCATATGTTTTTAATGCATGTAATGTTATTGTAGGACACTGAGTTTTAGAATTGCTCAATTTTAAGGGTGGTATCATTGTACTGTACATGCATTTGCTTCAGGAACACAATGTCTGTCCGTGAGCAATTCTCAAAACAGTAATCACGCGACATTACAGGGCACAAGTGTATGTGTGTTTCAAAATCTGGGATATTGTTATTCATGTTTTTACAGCTAAAAACAGCACCAACCTGAACACCCTGCTTTGTATTTCTGTTATACTTTCAGGGCATTATAAAATGACTACCTATTTACGCACAGTATGAAACACTTTTTGTTCAACAATGCTGATTGATTTATCTACTTGTCTGGATCTTCAGGCATCCATTCTAAGAAAACATTGATCGGAATGTGCCTGCTTTTACTGAAAACATGTCATATTTAACTTCCTTAACACTACAGAAAATTAAGAAGTCCTGGTATTGAACTGTAAATGAATGATTTCTCTAATCAAACAATGAAAGATCAACATTCAGGGTAAAATATCAGCACAATACACAAAATTTAATGAACTTTTGAAAATCATTTGGAGAATCTTTGGAAATTGGGGGTAGCAGTATATCATCATGATGAAATATCAGGAACCATCTTTTTTAGCTTGACTTAAATGGCTCTGCATGATTTAAATGCTTATATTTATAATACAGTACATGTTGAGTGCAGATTGTATTTACAGTGTCCTTATCCATTTAAGGTCACCAAAAGTCGAAGGGCATGTGGGTCAGATTTCCCGCCTCAGCCCTGCGTGTAGACGTTTGCATGAGGGTCTGCTTATAACCCGAAAAATGTCCTCAGCTGAATTTCTGTCTCCAAATTGCTCATTGTTTGTGTGTGTTTCATACAATGAACAGGTATTCCATCCAGGGTTTTCCCAGCCACTTGCCCTGTGTTTCCTGAGGTAGAATCCCGGCCCTTTACCCCATTTATGGTCATTTAAGTATATGCGATGTAATGTACTGTGGTCAACACTTAACTTATCACTCTCTGTACATGTATTAAGCTGCTGATGACAATGAAGTAACCTTGAACCTTGAACTTAAACAAAACAAACATAACACATCTCCAAGAAGAATATGTACCCGATATTCTCGTAAACTTAATGCCTATTTTTTTTATTCTTATTTTTATTGTACAAACCTTTTTTTAAATATTTACTTTTACCCTCATAAGAGTATCTGATTATTTTTAACATGACACTGTGGACAAACATTTCAGGCAGTGGAATACATTGTAGAAAAAGAATTCTCACACAATTTTCCAACATTTTTGCGTATGTTTTCAGCAGGTTCCATGTGACAGCCTCAAATCTACATTTCAAACTGGCGGATAAGGTTGTGATCAAGCTTTTTGGCACAGCCCATACAAATGAGGTAGATGATATTATAAAATATTCCCCTCTTTGGTATAACATATAACATTTCAAATATGACAGCATCCAGTGATTTCTTGACACAAATGTTGTTTTCCAAATCGACAGGATATTTTTAAAATAATGGAAATAAAATTATGAGGTATATTTGGTATTTAGAATCTATTATGCATATACAGATATGAGGTATCAGGCTGTACACAAACCTACAGACAAATATAACGTTCTTGTTTACAGTCCCAGTATGAACCTTAAAAAACTAAAATAAATTAAAAAAAAAAATAGAAAACATGTTAAACAATACAAATACTAATAAAAAAAACACATAAGAATATAAAACATTTACTTGTTTCCCTTGGGTTTTTTTCCATCACAATAGCAAACAAATAAATGACGTTCACAAGGCCTCTCATTAATGTCAAAGACCCCTCCCCCCCCCAGATCACAATTCTGTATTTTACAGAATCTGTTTCCCGATGCACCGTTCATGCGTTCTGTCTATTCCGTCAATTATCAGGGACACCGAGTGGAGGTGCAAGACGACCCAAACTACTAAACAACTTTATAAAGGTGTGCAATCAAATTTAGCTACTCTATGAAATTATACTAAATTTACTAAAAAGGAACCCCAAATATAAATTTAAGAGATGCTGCAGACACATAAAAAGGGATAAAGCAAGCTATTGTGAAGTAGTGTTGTTCCGGGAAATGTTTTTTAATGACTTCAGTATCACATTATTATGCTGAAAATATACAACCCATATTATTATTAAATATAGAACGTAAAACTTCACTGTTCACATTTAAAATCAAAACATGGGATGTACAGGAGCCAAACAAACTGGGTAAAATGGGGGGGTCCTGGCAAAGGGAACATGAGCGGAGCATGAGGAGGCGGGACTTCCTGTGAAGCTTGTACTGGTAACAGCTTATTTCTCATTTTAGACTCTGACACACCCTTGGAGATTTCTGGACTGTGACACAGGCACAAACTGAATGAGCTGAATGAGTTTGAGCAACAAGTAGTTATTTGTACTTTAAAAATGATCAGTTGTGTAATATTTCAAGAATCACATTACAGTAAAAGGCTAAAAAAAATGTAACAGTTTCTGCCAACCACCAGTAATAAAACTAAGCATCCAACACACCATTAAACCTGTTAACCTGATGTAGGGGAAGGCACTGCAATAAATAGTCATATAAAACATCAGTGCCACTCGCCTTGCCAATAATAACAGAAATCCAGTTTGGTTCAAGTTAGTTCAACACAACTGGTCCTCAGTCACAGAAACGGCTTTCCGTGAGAACAGCAGAATACACCCAATACCAGCTCTCATACGATGGCACCCCTTTTAGATACAGTGAGCAGAACCACCAATCTGCACTCACTCCTTCAGATCCAACTTGCTGTATCCATTACATGTAAAGCTCAAGGTGTGTCATGCAACTCCATCCCATGCCCATGTGGAACTGGAAACCGTGGTAACAAAAACTCAAGGGTAAACATCGTAAGAAGGTCTATCAAAAAGCCACAGGGTTATGCATGATCTTTGGCCCATAATCACTGTAGTTCCAGGCTGTCCACGTTGTGTCCCAACCAGGCTACTTACGACGACGCTCTTCACATCACACACAGAAGCACGAGAGAGGATGTTTTCAGACAGATTTCACAGTCTCACTTGATAAAACACGAGTGGCCATTCCTACAGCATCTCCACCATCTCAGCCTGAAATGACTGTGGGGAGATCAGAAAGCGTAGGGAAACGATAACATTGTGTAGGCCTGATCACCATCGGGGTCAAAGAGTTCTTCCTCTACTGGATAAAGTCCATTCCAAGCAGGTACCACCCATTCACTGGATGTTCAGCATGGTTGTAATTTGTGTTGTTGCAACAGATGGTACAAAATACAGCAGTTCCTCAGTTTTTGCAGTTGGAATCGACCACTTTTCAATACGTATGCCGCAGTTTCATCTTACCATCAAAAGACGTGACCTACAAAATGTAGCTAGAGCTAGAGTACATGAACATGTAATTTCTGTTTGTCTTTGGTATCAGCTTCCTGCTTTTTCATTTGCAATGACTGTTTTTTTTTACATGACTAAATTCATCACATAAATGTTCTCCCATGCCTATGGAGAAAATATATGAGACAAACTATGTATGATTGACCACAACTGACCACAATCTTTGCAAGTTCAGATTTATATATATATATATATATATATATATATATATATAATTTTTTTTCAGATAAGGAAAGATCACTCCTGATATAATCCTAGTAAAACCTTTCATTCATCCCTTTAGTTTTTCCCTCAGTTATTCTATGTTTCCTTCCTGGAAAAATCACAAACAGACGGAGGACGTAGTGGGACAGTTCTGTTGACTGGATGAGTATTTCAATATTCAAGATACGGGGCCCCCAGAGGCAGAACCGCTTCCCCCTGATGAACATGGGGAGGCGGGGGACTGGCTGTGTGCTGCCGGAACCAGGATGGACTTTCCCTGAGATTCCTGGCGACCGTTCCTGCTCCGGCTTGGAAGGCCTGCAGTGGCTGACTTCCGAGCAAACAGGACACCTGCGGGTGAAGCAGAAGGATACGAGTCACTGGGCTGGAGTAAACAGGGAACCTCTTCCCAGGATCTCCAGTAAACAAACACAGTGTAATGCCGTACAATCCAAGAATATCCAAAATGTCACTGTACAGTTTCTTGTTTTGAGTCACTGTACATATAAATATTTTACCAAGCTTGGGCATACATTTGAAATGTACTGTGGAAAATTTCAGAGATGCAGAGTTCAGGTTCAGAAAGTACAAATCCAGACCAAGATTTTGCTTCAGCCAGCCAGTTGCTTATAAAGAGTCAAATTCATAGAGTACGCAAGTGGTTGGTTGAAGCAAAATCTTGGTCTGGATTTACTTGATCTGGACGTACCTTCTGAACCTGAACTTTCCACTCCTGCAAGATTTTGTAGTTTCAAGTACTCTGCTACAGTTCACTTTCAGGCTTTAAGTATTATAAAGTTTTACAGTTAAATAGAGTTTGGCAGAAGACCATTGGAAGAATGAAACAATTACAGTGATGGTGGGAAGGATGTGCTTGTTTATTCTGCAGCTGGGTGGAAATCACAATTAGTAGCAGCCGTATAGGTGCAGGCTGAGCAGGCATACAGAGGGGGTATTAAGTGAATCCTCCATTCAAGATATGAAGGCCTCTTCAACAAGGTTTACCATCAAAGATGTCCTTCAGACCTACAGGGCAAGGAGCATTGTCTGTCGGCAGGTAATTACTGTCCCTGGCTCAGTGGCTCAACGCGGATTTTGTGGGGACATGCGCTCTTTCACCCAGCACATAAGACAATAAGCCCCATCGACTCTGAACCTAGCATGCTCGATTTTACGATATTTAACTTTTTTTTTTGACTCTGTTGGTCTGCCACTTCTGTACAATGGATTTTATAGAAAAGACATCAAATTGTATGGAGGACTAAGTGTGTGGATATGGCTATAACTTATTGAATTTCCTGCCCGCAATTACATCAGCAAACGGTCCACTATTTACCTGTGTAGACAACTCCATTTATTTCTATTGACATGTTGATGCTGCTAATGCCGTTGGTAGACAGGTTCAATGCGTTTCCCTGCCTGTCATCTGTCAGGAACCAGAGAGAGGTGAAAAACAGAGAAGTCAGACTCAATATCAACACAAAGAGAGGGATGGGGAGGAGAAGAGTGGTAGTTAGGTAGACTGGGGGGACTTTATTAAACAAGAAGGGAGACTGAGAATGAGGATGCATTATTACTGCACTGGTACCGTTGGATAATTATTACTTCTATGATGTATTGCTTGTCTTAATAAATCCATATGATACTAAATATATTTCTTAAGTCTGTATGTATATATTTGGCAGGGGAGGGTCCTTACCCATAGGCCCCCCCCCCCCCGAAAATGTCATACACTGCTTTGTTGCACCATCAGTACACCTGGTTTAACCAACAAAGGGTTTGGTGATTGGCTAAGTGACAGGAAGTAGTTAAGCTGTCCAATCGGGAGTGCCAATACTGAAGCAGAACAAACACAATGGACCCACCCTGCTCAGGTGTCCTTCAGCTAAAGCTGTTTCACAGGCCTCAAAAGAAACATTTGTATTAAATAGATTTTAAGAGGGTGTCTTTTGTTTTTCTTTTTACTTTTGGCACAGGCTGTTAAATATCTGAGAACTAATCAAGGTGTCATGTGTGCAGTGATATTCTCCTTTTGATAAAAAAGGATACACAATAAGCCCAAGTGGGTTGATTTACAATGTTCAGACATCACACTTCACACGGCCATTTGGTCCATCTAGCTTGTTTGGGGAGAACTCAACTAATAGCTCAGAGTTGTTAGAATCTAGCTCTGAACTCTAGAACCCAGGGTTTTAGATTGCACTACACTAATAATCAGCTCATTAAAACTATTTAAAAACATTTCTGGTCATTCCCCCCTATAGCACAGCACGTGATTAGGGTGAAATGAGAAAGCAGATTTGAGGGGCTGGCTCACTAAGAAATACATCTCATTCCTCTTGTTATTAAATTATGACTAAGAAACCCATGACTTATTGCTTGTCGGAGCTGTTGAAATTTCAGATGTTAGCAAAGCTAGATCATACAGGAGAAATCTATAATTCTGCCCATAGTTTAAAAAGAGTGTTTGAGCGTTTTAATTAGTATATTTCTTTATGGATGGTATATGAGATTCTCCATTTTCACAGTGATGTTTCACCAGGTCCAGAGGCACCGGAGCTGTAATTTTTATATTAATGAATTCAGCTTGATTGTTTATTCCAAACTCTAACACTGTGAGCAGGAGGCCTGTCATGCTTCTTAGAATGCGGCTGCATTAACATACATATCTTATCTATACCATTTACTGCTGCCCCCAGAGGATAAGGATCTTCTGAATGACAGAACAATTGAAGAATAAACCAGGGGACTTTTCATATTTTAGCTGCAAACTTGGGCAGAGCATTACCTCTGCTGTTCAACTTTATGTTCATGGGAAGCTGTGTCGCCATGGTGACGAGGTCTCGCTGAAGCGCGCGCTGCATGCTCATCTGCTGCTCCTCCGCCGCCAGCAACACCTTCTTTCGCGCCGGCTCGCCGCACTCCAGCGTCTCGCGCAGCTGCTCCAGGGCCGCCGCCTGCGCCGCGGCCAGGTGGTGACCCGCCATCGCCGTGGCGACGGGGATCTGCGAGCTCATGCAGTGGGGCAGCGTGTTCTCCTCTGGAAAGGGGGGTTTAAACAAGTAAACGACCGTGTCAGCAATCTGTCTGCGAATGGAGGGCATACAGACCGAAAAACAACATTAAACTAAAAGCATTTTAAGGACCCCCATCAAACAGGGAGACCTACTGGTTTTAAGTGATGTATAATGACCATATAACCATACTTTTAGGTAAATTAAACTGACTGACTTCTCTCTGTGGATGTATTTAACTCATAATGATATAATTTAACTCTAGGTTTTATAACAGTTTTTGTGACAGTACATTAATACTGCACTTTTAGTGTTTATTATTTGTTCCAACTGTCCGTTCATCCATCCATCCATCCTTCCATCCATCCATCCGCTTCTCCTAGGTATTGTTAGTTAATTAAAAATAATCAGCCCCCCCATACCCCGATACAGTTGGAGTTTCCATCCCGGTTGTTACAGACCAAACCGGTTCTGACCCAAACCCTGAAGATGCCCTCACCGTTCTTTACCATCCTGACCGGAGCAGCCCGACCGCTGCTGAGGGAGGGGGCGGCGACGTGAGCCAGCGGGACCTTCGGCGGGGTGAGGGCCACTGCGGTGCCGACGGGGGGGTAGCCGAAGAGCCCGGCGCCAAATCCTTGCTTGCGACCCTCGCGCCGGTTACTGTCGATGGCGACCTGCAGCTCCCCCGGCGAGCTGAGCCCCCGCTTGGCGCACTCGTACGGGTACAGGTACTTCATATACCTGCGCGAGCGGAAAGGTCATGTCAGCATCACGCCCAAAGCAGGCCGCACTGGCAAGGCCCGCAGGCACACCTGGACCCACACCCCCCCCCCCTTTGATGTCACAGATGCCCTTAAGAGGTGACTTCAGCCAGCCAGCCGAGTTTTTAACTGATGTCAACACTTTGCACGCCAGTATCCATTACAGCGCTCAAGCCGGGACGATGGGTAACATTATCTGCATTATAAACACCCACCTCATCAGAAATATAGAGAGAGAAAGCAGTAAGGCGTATATGTACAGGAAGTCTGGGTTTAGTTACAAATACTGATAATTATTTGTATATTAATTACAGGATTTGGTACCCCCCCCCCCCCCCAGGCCGGCCCCATGCTCACTGCGTGCGCAGAGTGAAAGCGGCACTGGTGATGGAAGTGGGAAGGTTCAGGCCTTTGGTTATCTCTCGCCATATCTTCTTATTGATGACCTCCACCAGGCCCCCTTTTTCCGTGACGAGCTTGTACAGGGTGTAGAGGTCCAGCACCTGCTTGGCCATGATAGGAATCCGATTCACCGGGGTCCCTGCGGAGACATAACATCCCCGATCGATGGCATCGACCACCCGGGAACGTCAGCGGCTCTCTCAGCTGCTAATAAAGCCAATTACTCCATGCTAAGTAAGACGTGAACCAGTGCCGTGGCCCCCGTTAACAGGAGACATTGGTTTTGTGAAAAATAAAACTCATGATGTGTTTTTTTTCCTCCAGATAAATTATGAGGCACATGTTTATGATGGATGTCACTGTACATAAGGTCAATAGTGTGAGCAGATTCAAATCTGCATCTCCAGACAAATGTGATTGACTGAGAAGAGCTGTTTTTTTATGGATGTGGAAAATGACAGGCTTGTTTTAGAGGATCAGGGACAGCATTAAGGGCTCGCACCTTTCGGGATCTGTGATTCCTGCTCCTTGCTCTGTATGGTTGTTTTCCTGTGGTTCCTCTGTGTACTAGGCTTGGGTGGTTGAACTTCGTTATTTGAATAATATTTGAATTTATATATTTATATACTCAATGGCAAAAATCAACGTTCCAATTTTAAAAAAATTACGTAAGCTACTATTAGGCATCTAACACTTCTTCATTTTTGTTTTGCTTAATGGCCCTTGTAGTATCATCGAATAAGATCTGCCACTAGGGGCAGACTTATGTAAATAAATTGAGCTAACCTAAATGGCTGAAACTAGCTGTTAAGGAAAAGAGTGAAATAATCAGGAGAATTACAGTAATTCCGAAAAACCTGAAAGGCGCATTCTGGAAACTGTTTGGATTTCCTTAGCATTTTTTATCATGGGGACCCCCACCCCCCACTCTGTGAATTTTATTGCCAAGATTTCACAATAGGCTACCAGAATAGCTTCACTTTAGAAAGTATTGTTAAAATTCCATATACAGACGCTCCTCTACTTACGAGATATGTTCCAAACAGCCCTTCATAACTTGAAATGTTCGTAAGTCGTTATTCAACATCATTTTAAGGGTATACGCAAGTACAAAGAACTAGGATGCTGGGAGTACGCACGCTACGCTGCTGCGCGGCGGGAGTAGCGGCCAGAAGTCATACTAGGCGGGATTGGCATGCAGAAAAAAAAAAAAGATGTTGCGGACAGGAAACAGGAGCCCAACGAACACAATTTGAACTTATAGTCCTTTTCGTTCATATGTTTGCAAGTTCATAAGTTGAAAGTTTGTAAGTAGAGGAGCGTCTGTACCGCAGTATAATGTATGGGCAGTATGACAGAATGAAACATTTACTTTAGTTACACATAGCTTAAACTAAAGGCAGCTTTTGATTGCATGTTGTTTGATTAAGCTTTAAGCTATTTTACATACGTAAGCCTATGTCAGCTGTCTAGTGTCAGTCCTTCAATACTTTAATTTCACACCACAATTTAGATGACTTTTTGTTGTTGCTGCTGGTGTTTCTGTCCTGTTGGCAGCTAAATAAATAAAATGTGTTGTTATATATTATTGTCTCCTCGTGGTTTTCTTCACTTAATAGCAGGCTAACGCTGCAGGTTTCACCGTTCACGGTCAGTCACACACATTGGCTACTGTGCTATGATGGGCTGGGTCTGTGGTACAACCGTGTAATTAATACTCAAAATTATTTGAATGGTAAAGCTGTTATATTATTACAATTTTAATGCTGTTTTACATTGACTTTTCCAACACTACTGTGTACCTCAGTTTCCATCCATGCTTTTGGTAGATTGAAATCTCTAAATTGTTGGTAAAATGTGATTGTGTGCGTGGCCTATAATGGACTGGCATCCCGTCCAGGGTGTCCCCTGCCTCTCGCCCTGTGATGGACTGGCATCCTGTCCAGGGTGTCCCCCTCCCTCTCGCCCTGTGATGGACTGGCATCCCGTCCAGGGTGTCCCCCTCCCTCTCGCCCTGTGATGGACTGGCATCCCGNCCTCCCTCTCGCCCTGTGATGGACTGGCATCCCGTCCAGGGTGTCCCCCTCCCTCTCGCCCTGTGATGGACTGGCATCCCGTCCAGGGTGTCCCCTGCCTCGTGCCCCCTGTGCTTCCTGTGAGTGCCTCCAGGCTTGCAGCATTTTTGCCTTTCTGAAACGTTGTGAGTGACAACACAGTGAACCAGTCCGGCAGCAAAACACACTCATGAGAATTTTGGCACAGAGTTAGTGTCCATTCCAGGAGTCTCATTCATCTTGATATTTAAGACCTAATGGTCTGTAAACTCTGGGCCTGAACTTTATGTAAGTTTATCCTTAGTTGCACTACGCATTGCACATAAATGCAAATGATTATGTTCTTCAGACACAAACCAGTCCCCAGCTATCTGCTGTTTTGTGTATTTTTGTATGAGTGATAACAGTAAATTAACTACCTGGCTTGACATTGATATAAAATATTGTGGGAATGGAAACAAACTAAATGGATGTAATGTTTATTTTTTTTATCTACTTTGGATAAAAGTTCTAGTTAATAAGTAAGCCATATTATTACCATGATTACTACTAATAACTGCAATTTAGATAAAATCTGTACAGTCCTGGCACTAAGATGTCCCTCATGGTGCCACAGTGCCTGACTGAACCCTGATTGTAAACAAACATGTGCAACCCCCCCTCCCCCATCAAACATAAGAAAAGTGGACAAGATTGCATAGCTCAAAATATAAGGGATGACTGAAAGACATTTGTACAATTTCAACAGGTACTTATTTGAATCCGAAGAATAAATCCTAGATTCTTGGTTAAAGATTAAATGGTTTGTATGGTTTGCTTCATGCACAATCTAATCAGAATGTTTTCTTCAGGAATGCAAAATGACATCAATTCACCCTGCAAATGTGCTGGACTTTACATGTCATTTTGATGTTGCGTAACGTTGTGTAAACTTTTATTCCACACTTACTGGCACAGCAACTGGCTGTCATAAAATTTCTCAGAGCATGTTTTCTCCCCACTTTTCAACCACTTCTTCTGGGTAGGGCTGTATCCTGTGTTTCAGGCATAAGCATTATTTTAGTAACACTGACTGAGGGGCCGACCATTAGCTACTCACATAGCTAGTTAGTGTCGATATTGGGAGATAGAGAAAACGAGTATTTCCAGAGCTAATTAAATCAGGAATGTCTTCGATAACATCAGTGGCATTTGTTTTTTAACATGGGTCTGCAGATGTTTAGAATGTATTGCCTGATGACTATGAAGGCCTACGTACTCAACATGAGGGGAGGTGAGCGGCTCATTGCGTTAGGATGCTGTGGTTGCGATCAGAATGTAGTTGGTTTAAATCCCACTGTGGGGCCCTTGAGAGAGACCCTTAACCCCCAAAACTCTGTCCCTGCTCTTTCAAAAAAACAAAAAACAGAATGTGTTTATCGTGTCCAAAGGGACATAGAAGCATTGATGAGAGACCAGGATAAGCCAATGTCACTGAAGCAATTGGGGTTACGGGCCTCGCTCCAATAGTGACATTACTATGCCAGCAAAAGGATTTGAATCAATGACGTTCTGATCTTGGGGACAGGGTAATATCCCACAAAATAACACAGGAGGCGCACACAGCTAGAGAGATGGCAGTACTGCGATGAAGACGTTTTATGCAGGGACAGTGTGTAGATCAGTAGGTTAGGACTCTTAAAGTCACTGCCAAAATCTCAGGACTAGGTCCCTCAGAAAGGCCCCTAACCTCCAGTTACTCCAGGGAATGTTTTGCTTTCTTGAAAATGTAAGTCACTTTGGATAAAAGCATCCGCTAAACGTTATGAAAGTTATGTAGGCAATAAGAGAGGCAGCCTTTGGCTGAGATATAACAGCTCCCCTTCATATTCTCCAGGCCTGGAGTATGAGTGAGAACGGCCTCACCGGGCACGGCGTGACTTAATGGGCAAGGCGGCAGCTGCTCGTGTGAAGACCACGCAGGCTGACCCCAAGATAATTAGCCCACGTTTTGCCGATAGTGTTCAATCCTGGCCATCGGATTCAGGATAATAGCGATCGATATCCGCTGAACGCGGGGAGCGCCGCGCAGGGAGTCGGAGCGAGGAAATGAGGTCCGTCTGAGCCGGGCCCGGGCATGGCGGTGGGAAGAGGGAGGGCACATCAATTAGGGCTGGTAATTACCGCTTCATTTTGTTTCTCTGACGTGTAAATGGGGAAGTACCATTAAAATGGAAGATTAATCCCCATTGTCCGTGCAGACAATGGTGGCATTATGTCTGAAGTAGAAGCTCCTAAAACAATCCATTACTTAAAAAAAACAGTATATACATCACCAAGAATTGATATTCCCTAGTGCTGAATACTGGAAAGGAAAGAATCAAACCCATTTCTTCATCCGCACCCCCTTTGTCCAGTTCAAGGCCGGTTGCTTCCCCTATAGTTACACTGACCCAGCAATGCATTATATTATTGTTGCTGTACATTGGCCAAGCGTAGAGTTCAAAATCAAATTAGTGTCAGATAGTCACGGATGACAGGTCGCAGATAACATTACTGCCCCCCCCCCCCCCAACCCCACCCAGGAAAATCACCACTTATAATGCCTGCATACTTTCTGTTTGGCTAAAATAAATAAATACATAAAAACTAGAAAATCTTCTTCCCCCTAAGCTCCATTTTAAACTGCCAAATCTATTACCAAATTCATATTCATGTTCATAACACATTCACAACATGCCTAAACACGTAAATGGTCAAACCATAATCATTAAAAAGACCTAGGAACATTGCGTTGGACATATTAATAAACATTTATCAAACCATTTCAATAAATAGCTGACTGAAATCCAGATTTTTATCTAACATGTGTGTATTTATTCAATAAAGATATCTTGAGGGCAAAAATTTAACAACAAGTTGACAGTGTTACTGGTGTGATATATTAAAGGCACCATGAGACATCGCAGTGCTGCCTGATCCCCTTAAATATCTCTACTAAATCTGTCTTCATTCTTATCACAGTCATAATACTGCAAAATGATCCCCCAGCACAGACAACAAACTGGAATATCATGATTTGCCCTCCTGAATAGACACTGAGGGTAAAATAGTAGCTTTCCAGTCTGCTAACTTCAAGATAGCGGCTAGATTATTTCTGAATGGAGAGCTAAAGGGTCACATCCCTTTAACTGCCATCATGGAAACTTCCACCGATAGAGATCTATAAGACAATTACATGTCAAAATACATTATACCCAATCAAAGCATGGGACTCATAAATTGAAGCCTGCTTTGAGTGCTATTGTCTGGGAAATTCTGAACCCAATAACTGCCCTTTAAAGGGGATTTATGCACTTTCAATATCTACAGTGAGGTCCTAGCCTGCTAGATTTGCCAAGGGAGATATAGGGAATGAAAGGGGTTACACTCTTTTGTCAACAGACATTATCTGCTGGGCCGTTGATCATCATGACAATGAGCGATTGCCGATTAGAGAAAACAAGTTCTACCAATTCTGCTCTCTGTCTCCCAGCTGTCAGCGAGGTGCAGTTTGAGAATCAGCCCCTAATGTCACAGTAATCATGCATGATCGAGGTGAGCACTGAGATGTTTTGTTTTCTGAGCTAAATCACCCGTACACTCAAAGAATGTCCGTCAAACCGAAAATCAATAATGTTCTGACGTTGCGTGTTATATCATGCTGTTTCAGGAGGGAAATGAGAAGCCGTAATGTATAATAGGAATGAAGAGGTTTCTCCTCTGAAGCACACAAACTGACAGGAATAACTAACGTTATGTAAACACACAGTCTATGAAAAGGCTTGAGAATGAGTTCAGTCGGGAAACCTCCAAGGAAAAGCGAGAGCATGCATAAATTAGTTCTCAGGAGTACAGTCAATTTAATATACTTCTGAGTTGGTGGGGGTAGGTGGAGTCGAGTTACTGGGTTTAACCTTATTGATTTGCTCCACCTGTCGCTGGTTTTAAATAATGTGGACTCAGTGGAGTGTCTTGTATGGTGTTGTGGTAGTCAGTCTAGCTGGGGGGGGGGGGGGGGGGGGGGAGGGGGGGGGGGGGGGGGGGGGGGGGAAGAAAAGGGGTTGGGCAATTTTGGGGGCAGTGCTACACAAAGCTGTGTCAGTAAGTAAAGGAAAACACACACACGTTTGTATTCATACATTCATTCATTTCTGTGGGCAAAACCATAATTACAGCAACGACGACCTTAACCCCTACCCAGCCCTAATCTTAACCGTTAGTAACCAAACACACACGTACCTTAAAAACTTGACCTTTCAAAACAGGTGCAAAAACAACGCCCCCACCAGATAAGAGATTCCTAATCCATAATAAACCTGTTCTTCGGCGTGACATTTGGTGGAATCATTATATAAGGTACCGGCTAAGTGGGATTGTTGTAGGACCGCGTCACGGGTACTACAAAGCCATGCTACGAATTTCTTCTCTTAAAGTACATGACGATCCGAGGATAGGCTGGAGTGAGAGTGTGATTCAACCGAAAAAACATGTCCGAATCCGGTTCGCGTCCGCAAGCCGGCGCACAGACTCGCCTGTATTTTAGGACATTTCGCTGATCATCGGTGTTTAAATCCTAGGTGATTATGGGGGAACAAAAGTTTGCTTATTGAGGAGAAAGTGCTGAGGTGGTGCGGATCGTGATCAATTTACACTCGTGGAAGCGATTAATCAGACGGCGTGTTTAGCGCTGTACAATGGGCGAGCGGGCTTTCATTGTCCGGCGTGATATACTGTATAAGGTCAGAGACCGAAGGGGATCCATTTTTCTGATGAAAGCAGAGCCTCAGTTCGTCGCGGATCTGACTGCATGGCCGCCCTTCTCGTCATTAGTCTAACGTTAATTACCTCGGGCTGCCGTAACGGCTTTAAGTCTGGTCTTTCTCAGAAACCAGGAACATGCATCTCATAAAAATGTCTTGTAAGAAAATTACATTTTAATAATATTAAGCAGGTTCAGGAATTAATTCTAAACTGTAATAGGCAACTAATCTTGTATAAATCGGATAAAATAACACATTGTTGAAGATTTCCATGCTTTACATTAAGATTAAGGTTAAATTAATTGTTACTCTTGTATTTAAAATGTTGAAATCGTTTAAAACGTGTTATGGAGGTGATTTTTCAAAACCGCAAATGCCCTGGGACTTTCTGCAAGTACATAAACCAGAGCCTCTTTTTAACTCTTCTGCACAGAAGTTCACACGATCGCCACTTTCCCAGCCTATGATTAATGACCATAAAGGCCGAGATCCCAGTAAGGTCACCGACCTCCATGTTGGGCTTTATATGCGCCCGGTACATGACAAGTTACAATCAAACGCAAGTGTAATACGTTAAACTGCTCAAACTAACCCAAACGTGTAACATTAGCAGAAGCGGATTTCATCAGCGCAGTTCCCCATTTTACCTTATTCAGACGGATCACACTTTCAGAAGACTGTCCAGAAGCGTCACTTAAATAATGTAAGGAAAGCGAGTTTTAAAGGATGCAAAACTATGAAAAGCACTTTTCTTTGCTTAAACTGAAACTTGAGAAAACGTTCAGACCCAAATGCATGTAAGGCTACAAGAACAAAATACATCCAGATATTCGAATTAGTTTTAAAATCATATGCAAGTGGCTTTGGACAATACGTTTGCTAAGCAGGTTAAGAAGACAATTACCCAGAAATCTGAATGACCAGGAAATAATGGACGGGGTCCTGTTTACAGGGGAGCTTTGGTGGAGTTTAAGTAAAATAAACCTATTCTGGTTCATTACTGTCAGACTGAAGTGTGGCGATGCTCTGTGTACAGTACATACATATTTTATGTAGAGTTCTGTGCAAAAGGCTTAGGGAGGTAGTAACTGTATATTTGCTCCGAAAGAAGCAAAACATGCAAATTACCTGTAAAAAATAAAATCTGTTCTCGGTAATGTTACTGATGTTTTGTTGGACAGCTAGACATAGACCACTTTAGGTCCCAAACACGTGCTGAGGAGAACCTCAGGCCATCCATCCATCCATTTTCTGAAACTGCTTAATCCTAACGGGTCGCGGGGGACTGGAGCCTATCCCAGGAACAATGGACACAGACGGGAACCAACCCCGGGCAGACATCAACACAGCACAGTCATTCCAAGTATTTATGAAATTTCATAAATTTATATATATATATATACATACATACACACATATGCAGTAAATATATATGTATTATTTTTTTAATGTTCCTTATGGCTACTGATCATCTGCAGAGTAAAGTCTGAAAAGTTTGTGGTGTGTAAAAACACAGACAAGGTTATACAGCAACCCTGTGACTGTGATAGTGTTAGATATTTTTATTGTTATTGGAATAGTGGGGTGTTTGTCAGTGAGACGTGTATAGGTCCCTCAGCCTGGGACGAAAGGAGCTCACCTCGCTTCTGCATGAAGCTGAAGAGGTCATCGAGGAACTCCTTCCGCTTCTCGTCATCATCCAGCTCATACAGCTGAAATAAAGTGTGAGACACAGGATGATGTGACACGTGTGACCTGTACTCCCTCGCAGCACCACAGACACATCAAACCTTACAATTGTTACAACCATCAAGCACACATAACATTCTGTTAGTAGTAATTACATTCTAACTAACAATTCTCTTAATTTAAAACCAAAATAAAATGGTAAACAAGGTTAAACATATTGAGCATTTGATATGCTTGTCTTGCCATTATTTTGGCATGGTTTTGCACTTACAAACATTAATAATGATTATATGACTCTCATATGCATAAATAAAAAATGTTGTATGAGAAGGTGCACCCAAGGTAGAGACTTCAACATAGTTCCACATTTTAAGTGTCTGCGCTAAGGGGAAATTATGTTTGACCTATTTCTTACAGATAAAACAGGAATTTAAGCTACGCTTTCCATAGTCACCTATCTTCTTCAGATTTGTATACGTTAATCAATGTTCATACGCATCCAAACATAAATTATGCTCACTAAGGAACAGTGTTTTTAACATGCTTTGAGATCCAACTTGCTAAGGTGAGGACCAGTTCCTTAAGGCGCCTGCAATTTTCCCGCAACCACTGTTTTTCTCAGATGAAGTATCTACGTGTCAGGAAACAGAACTCACAGTTTCCCTTGCATTACACAAAGACGAGAAATGACACCTTTGTGAATGAACAATCTCAGGAAAGTGCGTTATATCTGCACGGAGTGTGAAGCCTTTTCATACGAACATGTTAAAAAGAACAATCTTCAGCAAGAGGTCAAAAATAGATGGACTAACATATTATAGAGCCCTGACCCTTGAAGTTCAAAAGCACAGATATGAAACAATATTAAGTAGTTAAAAAAAACCATATCCTGCATTAAACTAGTCCAAGCTCATGAAATATGGTTTACCCAGGAAGTGATGTCACACAAACATTTCAAGTAGCTCACAAGCCCATTGGATGACATAGTGAGTGTTCATGCATGAAATATGACTTATGAGAAGATTCATTATATGGCTGCCTATTCACAGAGGAGGAAAAAAAACAACACATAAAGAGCATGTTAAAGAATGGTTAGATGGTGATGGACAGCCTATGAGTAATCACTGTGGTGTTCATGTAAATACAACTTTTGTTTATTTTGCAACATTACAGGGAGGGTTGTCAAAAGAGGCATCAGGACTAACTGACAGAATGAAACTGATTTAACTGCTGGTTCCAGTGTTTCCAAACTCGCTCACAGCTACAAAAACGCATCGCTACTGAACAAATCATCCACCTTTTTACATTCACTCAAATGGTGATACACAGATTATTCATAAACCTCTGCATAATTACAGGGGAATTCAATAACATGAAGCTGATTCCCATGTTAGGAATTTACACAAAATAATGTTTACTTTGTTTTCCTAGGTGATGAAATTAGTGTTTTCTTTTAGTTTCCTGGCATGTGAATCACCACCGGTAATTGTCAGTTTGATATAATTCCCAGTGAGCAATTTACTGTAACTAACCAAAGATTCAGGGGAAGGGAAACATTGGGAAGCAAGATGTGTGAGGGACACCCTACGTTTTATAGTAAATATCAGAGTGGGGGATGTTTCTCGTTTCCTGTCCTAAACAGAGGACACAAAATTCCAAAAGGGTGTTCCAGTGCGGTTTTCGGGGAGGTAATGGGTTATGGCTGTTTGTGCTGCCCAACAAAGGACACCGCAATCTACTGACATTACACAACCTGCTGCGTGTTACGCTACAATGCCGATACGAGGGAGTTCTGCCATCACATTTATGTAATTAAGCAATGATCGTATGTTTACTTGTCCGGACAGACATGTCTTGACCTGCGACGGACTGAACGTCTTTAGTCTGGCTGCCGACAGATTCTATCAAGGTGGTCTCTTCCGCTAAGAGACGTGTTAAAAGGCGATTAAAACGTACGTCTGGGTCCTCCAGACAGAAAGCAAAAACGTGGATGAGTAATTGTGAGAATAGAAGCCTTAGGATGTGGAAAGCAGTTCAGAATGTGTGCCGACTGCCAAAAAGAGATGATGTGAGAAAGCAGAGGTACTGTAGGAAATGCCAGGGCAGGGCTCGCTTCAGGAGAGCTCAGACAGGTCTTCTGTCCATCTACCCCCATTATATTCCTTCCATTTTCTTCTCTGTTGTCCCCCATTGGCTCCTCAGACCCATGTGACATTAGGAGAGACGTGTCACACACACAGGTGGAAAAGCGATGCATAAGGAAATTCCATAGTAGTAAAGCGGAACTGGTGAGCGTGTGTTGGAATTTGGAGGGGGGGGGGGGGTTGAGGGATGGGGGCTGGCTTCTTCGCTACTAAAAAGAACATGGGATGAAGTTTATATTATCATAGATTGCTCATTACTCAACCATCCATCCATCCACCCCTTCACTGACTTCTTTACTTAATACCTCCATCCATTCTTTAATTTTCAAACTACTACAGAGGTTCTGGGAATCACAGGGCACAGAGCAGGGTGCCACGGTATTGCAGGGTGTGCGCATGCATCGCATGGGCAATATACAGATGCTGATTAGCCTGGATGCAGGACTTTGGACCACGGGAGTATCTGGAAGAAACCTGATGCAGGGAGAACAAGCAAACTCCACACCACTATTTATTCCCTGTCTGAGCACAGGGTCACAGAAGGTTGCTCATTTACAGTCAGGTGAACAAAAGTATTTTCCACAGAGACCATGGACAAGAAGGTAGGGGTTGCTTGACAGTCATAGGTTTTTTTTTTCCAGTAAAGTTAAATCCCTGAGTAGCGGGTCTCCTGGGATGTCACCAGGGTAACAATTCCTCCTGGTCTGAGTTATTGATGAGGACCTTAAATTACAGATTTCATTTATCACCATAAACGATCACGTTCCCACAGCGGTTTGTCGTTTTTTAAAGCCAACTGTAGATGTTTTAAACAAGATCCTCTCAAGATCCTCTCCTCCTTAGTTGGTGATGTCATTCGCACAATATACTGCAAGCCACACTTGGGAAAATCTGGTTAAATAATGCAAAAAATAGCCTCAGAGTACAGAAGTCTGCATACTATATACCAACAGAGTGACAAGTCAAATGATACATGTGCGATCTGATTTTTTTTTTTTTTTTAAATAAACTTTTTTTCAAGCAAGGCTTATGAAAGTTAAGAAACAACCAAGAACTTGATCGCAGTCACCTATCCGGGGCTGTCCCAATCCTCAAAATTTCACCCTTGCTTATTATAACCTGACCCTGCTTTAGAAGGGGGAGCAAGGTTATCCATTAAGACCCGAATTTAATATGGCTGCCGTAAGCATTCCATTCCTTATTAAGAGACTGAACCACTGTCCACAGTCTGCCAGTCCTTTGTTTTTTTCTCCCTCCACTGGAATGTTCCAGATCTACATTTAATATCCCATAATTCTCAGCAAACAGTGAAATAGCACGCCGCTTTCTCAGTAAACGCCGAAGACATTTCTTGCACAGCAGAACAAGGGGGAATGTAAACATTAATGTAGGTTTTGTATGTACCTAATGACCGGACAAGTAAAAACTCGTTATTCGGGGAAATAAACACTCTAGAGTCTACAGAAATCGACAGGTTCAGGTCAGCGATCATGCTTTTAGGCTATAATTGTTAAAGTAATTGCAAGAAATGTTTTACTCTTAACCGCGTGCCTCTGGGTAATTTTCATAATCCCGCCCTTTTAGCAATTCATACAGTGATTAATAATACTCTCTCGGGACTAGCTATAGATGTACGGCTGCAATTTAAATTGAGATGATTTTTGCTGCGCTGTTGTGTGAATGTACACTGCATTGCTAGATGACACATGCTTAAATTAGATATGTCAACAGCAGCCATGTCATCTGAGTACTTCATGAAAAAAAAAACCTTAGTATCTGTGTAGAGGGAAATTAACACCTGCTATATCACAGAGCCTGAGGTTACATTAGTAGTGATGATTCAGATAGACACACGTTGACCTTTAAATCTAATCTGCGGACACCTGTTTGCCCAACCAGAAAGAACCAGCAGAGCCTTTTTATAGAGGACAGTAGACAGTTTTTTTCTCCTCAGACATTATGTTTGTACACGCAGACTGGCCACATCTTGTGTGGACTAATGTTGAAACGAGAGAGCAGGACGAGGGAAAAAATATGCTATATGATTTTTTTCCCCCAACTTTGTCTGCTTATTTCTAAATTTTACTCAAAAACAACATATTTCTCAATTGGTTTTCAAGTTGCAAGGGTTTGAGGACCATTAATTAATTACATGAAATTGTGAGTCAATGAGAATCCGGAAGAAATACATTTATACCTGATGTGCGTGTGGGTATGTGTGAGTAACATCTGTGTAGGCTGACAGACAAAAAAAAGAATGATCTCCTGTTGTGTGACTTTCTTTGTTCTGTTTGCATACAATGGAACCACCTAGTATTACATGTCTTCAAATGTCCGACCGAAATGACAGGAACCTTCATCTCAGCTACTTCAAAGCCTTAGTGTCCAAGTCACCTGCACTCCCGGCCGATAAATCACCTCCGGTAGCGTGGGTAGCCATGCCGCTAAACACGAGGTTCTCGTGTTTAGTGATAATTAAGAGAAAAACTACCATCCAGACTCATAGCAGGACAGATGACTCACGCTATTGTGAAACCAGCTTTACGGCATATCATCCCAGCCGTCTGGTGTTACCTGTAATAAGACTATCTAATCTTGATTGATAAGCTTGCGGTCTGACTTGGGTGGGGGCACAGTCTGAACTTTTATTTGCATGCTTTATTAAGTAAACATGTATAATTTAAAGCTACAGCTATATAGATGTGACCAAGCCCAAATAACCTTCCTCAAATAATTTACAAGCAATCAGCACTAGGTGCGTAGCAGCGACAGAAGGTCACTCTTAAGGCTTCCCTTGTGCAAGAGGCTCCCCTGCATTCTTCTCAATGCCGTCATCATCGCTGTTACTTTTAAAAGCTTAAATAAGCGTATCGATCATC